TCCTCGAGAGCCTGACGAAGCTGATCTTCGGTATATTGAGGCATTATATATAGAAGAAGACATGTGCAAAAGATGAGCCCATTTGGACGCGAATTGAAAATGTTGTGATAAAAGGAGGTTGGGGGTGGGCATTGGGTTGTGGTGGATTTTCGCGTTTTTGTGGGTGCCAGAAACAGGGGGGTGCCAGGAAGTGGGTATGTTGACTTATCTCCCTCGGTGTTCAATTGCAGACTTCCCATTGAGGCCATGACATCAGATATGTCGGAAGCCTCGCTCCATTTCCCATGCAGAGTCATGCTGACGGATGACGTGATGGAATCGTGGTTCCTGAATGTCGGCCTCACCTTTTTCTCCACGAGATTGAAGGCATCTTTGCGAATCCTCAAAAGCAACCTATCGACCATAACTTGTCGCTTCTCTTCGCCTCCGTGACCTTCGGATTGAAGTACATCAGGAACGCGCCAGCTGATATAAAGGTTCTTGTGACTGCTTCGATGCCCGACGCCAGACCGGTGCTCCTCGAAGTAGTACTCGCAGAGCCGGCAGGTTGGCTTGCTGCTGCCAATGTACATCCAATTATTGAAGAACCTGTCAGGGGAAACGCCTCCCGCTGTTTTCTCGAGGTGATTAAGCAGCAAAATCTCCGAGTGGACAATTGGATGAAAGTTGTCTTTTTGGTATTCTGTTTGAATTCTTTGGTCCAAGTGCATGATTTGCAGGTCTTGAACGAATTCTCTAAACTTTTCGATGATGTCTTCTTTGCGGGTCATGCGACCGACAATGCCTTCGGCGGTCATACTTTTGTTCCGTCCTGGTCGCGAGAGCGGGTGACTGGATGGGTGAATCAAGATCTCGAAGTTTCGAAATATCTCAGGCCAGTTGTCTTTCGCAAGAAGGAAGAACTCGATGTCCTTACAATATGCCAGAAGACGATTAACCATATGCCGTATCTCAGGCCAGTAAGAAGAGGAGTTGCTTGTGACTCCATTCAAACGAACTCCTGTCGCTTGTTGGTCGATGTATACCCAGACCTCGGAGGCCTTCAAGTTTATCAGGTTGTGTAGAAGAACGTTGCATTTGTGAAGGTCTGTGGCATCATCTGATTAGGTCAATCACTCCTGGATAAATGTAGTTTCGTTGATAATCAACGGTATTCAACTCACAATGAGATTGAGTGGCCATCCTGTCATCGTGAAATTCAAGCAGTCCGAGAGTGCTTGTTAGGGATTCAATGACTGATTCAATTATCAACGTGCTATAAGTCATTTATACTTTCAACTTAGTCGTCGAACGTTCAACAGCTTGGCCTACCATTTCGAGCATCATCGATGCAGCGTTGTATCTCTTTCTTAAGTCTGACGATGTAGGAGTTGATTCTGGGTCTGTTGAACCAGAGTACTGCGTTTAGCAAGTCCTTACGCAGCTCTGAGGTCCTTTCTGACGTTGATGCTCCGTTCAATCGCTCAAGTAGATATTGGATGTATGCCCTGACATTCTTGAGATCATCTGCAATTCGCTGATTCGATGCAAGATGATACTCAACATTTGTTGCCTCGGAACCGTGAAGCAACATGATTGAGGTAACGGTACCGCCCCCGTTGCCCGGGGTACTGTCGCAAACATGAGCTAGCTTGTATATGAAGGCCTGGAAGATTCTCTTCACATCTCCGCGATAGTTGAGATCATCTGGGTCGACGAATTCGGCCAGGTTTGTCATCTCATCGTTCATTGCCTTCAGAAGAACCAGGGGCTCATAAAACTTGTTGATGACTCGAGACTTCATCGAGATAAGTCCAGCTGTAGCAGTGATCAGCGGCGATGAAATAGACAGCTGTATGTAGCTTCAGGAAGCACATAATACGAACGTGGTGAGGTCGCAACTGGAACCATGTTGATGTGGTAATTTAAAAGTTGTACCTTGAATAGCGACTGCTGCATAGGGAAATCAAAGGCGCCGACGTCCTTCAGCATTGTGCTGTTGCTCCCACTAGATTCGCAAGATATACAGCTTCATAAACGTCTGCGCAACATCACGGGACATGTAAATGACCGTGACGACATGTAATTACGTAATAATTTGACCAAACTTATGGAAGTAGTCATCCTTAGTCGCTTTACTTCGTGCATCAGCTGCAGGAGGCCAGCCCACCATCCCGTGAAGGATTAGCTCGTCCCAACGGATTTAAGCTCAGGCTCTGTACCAAGACTTACACCCTGGACCAGGAACAGGCTTATACACTTCTTCGTCTCATTGGAGAGTTTCTCCGCGAAGCCCGAAGTTGGGCTGACATCGATAAGGTCTGAAGCAGCGATAGGCCTGAAAAGCTCGAGAGCAGTGAACGTCGATTTGGTTGGGGATTCGAAATCCAGCCTACCGAAACGACTACACCCGCCCGCCGCTTCCATTTTTTTGTGAACACATGATGTGAAGGTACATATATGTTGTCGGTTCGGACTGTCGTCAGCTAGCTTTTGATTTTTTAATCGCATTTTCCCCGTCCGGATCGCAATCGGAACAGGCGATTCCTTCGCTCGCTCAGAAAGTAACCCTTGAAAGCCTCAGACCATGGGCTTTCCGACACCTTCCGAGCCGTTTGAGGAGTCGGAGAGCCCTAGTACTGTACTCACCGAGCTTTTAGGCAATGAGGACTTGTCCACGTGGGATCCGATAGGCTGGCCTCCAGGCGATCTGCTGATTGGGACGGATCAGATTTCAGCCCTTGTTGATACAGCCCTTCAAGACATCAACCCCAATTTGCTCGATTGTTTTGAGACCAATCACTTGTTTCAACCTACGCACTACCCAAATTACGACGAAGATGAAGCCCATATCAACCATACCGGGGATAGGGTCCAGAGATCGGCTATGGAGACCGAGTCATCCTATAGCACTCAGCAACAATTCATGGTAGAGATTTCTGCTTCCACTGAAGACCCATCCGACATCTCCAATACCGACGCAAGTATCTGGGATGCTCTCCATGGACCTACTCCGATGGCTTAGTTGTCGGAATTTACACATGTTTCTGGCCTTCGCTCGCCAAGTCATGAGCCGGCTGAATTCTGTCAAGGTACCTTCGAGGAGCAATCAAGCCTGTTGTTTGTTGTTGATGGTAAATACTGAACCCCTCCTGCTGTATTTGGGCGGGACTGAATTGACGGCTTCGTAGTATCCCACCCAGGACGTGTCTTCTGTCTCAAGCACCAAAAGTGGTATGAGGCGGGTGAAAAGTTTCGGTAGGTTTGACCCTCTGCATGCCTTGCCAAGCCCACAAGACATCTGAACTTCCGTCAGGCGACATGAAAAACGACACCGACGACGGGTCAAATGCGGTTACGAAAAGTGCTTCATGACATTTGCAACATCCAAGGAGCGGAACGAACACTCTTATCGCTATCACAAGAAGTGGTCTAAAGAGAATGACATACCTGATCCGAGGCGACGTTGCCAGGTATGCCGAACAAAACTGTCAAAGGCGTCCTACATCAAGAGACATTTAAAACGATCTCCCGGCTGCAATGCAATCCTCGGAGGATTGCCCACCAAGGATCAAACTCTCATGCTGTCTGACTCCGAGAACGATTGATGGGTATTGATATGGAGTTTCCCTTATGGAGCTTGGACCTTCGACAAGCTGAAAAACGTATATCCATGTAGGGGTTTGTGTCATTCGCTCTGAAGACCACCTTGGGCCCTGGATAGGTCTGAAATTACTCAGTTCGGTTGGTCTGAGTTCCGTGCCGGATCCGAAGGCTCGGTCTCGCTAAGGTACGGACTTGAAGATTTGCATAAGTAGGTAACGCAGAGGGACCAGCAGCTCATTGTTCGCTGGGAACCAGGCAAAACAGGACAAGACTGGATAGAGGAATGATAAACACGATTGTTTCAAATAGCATGGGAGAATTCTGAGTCTTAAATCTCCAATCTGCGCGGTTGTCTTTTTGTCGACTCAACTAAAGTAGGAAATGGCTCATTCCAAAACGCCGTGACGTCGGTACCGTAGAGAGGAAAGACCACAAATGGAGACCCTCGGATTCCACGGCATGCAAGATTACTTAACAATCCTAGGGACAGTATCCGCACACCAGTATTTCGAGCCCACTATTCACCATTGCTCCTTGCAGGCGACGACTCAGATGCAGCGGCAACACGAAACCGAATGTAGTCAGGCTGGGACCTTGTTCTCTCATACACATTTGACCGCTACTACGTCCGGACACAAGACATAACTGATCACGAAAGTTCCAATGGTCAAGAAGAATGAGCGAAAGCTTTCGGACCCGTCCGAATCGTGACCCTATCAACCTAACTGAGTGGTAAGTTGGAAAGTCTGTATCGTCTGAGTTCTGGTATTGAGTGCATGTATAATCTGCAGGATCAATTATCAAACCATGACTCAATCCAGGCTTGAAGTTCATAGCCACGACCAGCTATCTCATCGCTGGAGGCATACGTCGACTGCTGAGCCTCAACGGATCTTCAACAACGAGCGGGATGCAGCATACGGAGTACTAGTACGCGTATCAAGGGGACTGTGCTTGAACTGGCAATTAAAGTGAAAAGACTCATTGCAGAAAATATCCACATGCAAAGCTATGAATGGCAACTTTTCAGAATAAGGTTTGTCGATCGTGGAACAGCTTCTCGAGGAAAACACGAGGACTGACTCGATCCATCACCTGATGTTATTTCAGGAATGGCGATCACTTATTGCTCTTCCTCAGTTCAAGAAGCAATCATAGTTAAGGTAGACTATAAATCTCCAACCTGGCAAGACTTTCCATCTATAGTCACACGGCACGACAGCACAGCCTTCACGTCTATTACTCCTTGATTATCATTTTCGACGTCTATTCTAAGGTTGGTTTCCAACTTGAAGCAAAGCTGACAAAAAGTTTGACTGACTTATCTTTGTCATAGAAACGGATTGATTCTACTTACACACTTGTCAAAATATTGCCTCCGAACCGTAGCCATGAAGTTCGCCACTATCGTCGCCGCAATCACCTTGGTCGCCTCGGGTGTCCTTGCCAACCCTTCTGAAAGCAATAACCTCGTGCGTCGCGACTGCTACGACTGCCACTATAAGTCTTTCGATGCCGGCCGCTGTGATGGAAGTTGCAGCAGCTCGGAAGCCGAGGGCGGTGGACAGGTCTGCCGGAAGTGCATCAGTGGATGCCCTGCTACGACCGACGCCGATCGCGGAGACACGCCCGCCGTGAGCTGCTAGAAATGGTCAAGATGATTATTTCATGGTCTTGAGCACGAAGCGACAGGAACATAAGGCTGAGGAGATCCGAAGAACCGTCTAAGAGTAAGACCAGCGGCAGAAAGTGTCGAAATTGTAGTATTCAATCAATCCACTGAGTACCAGTAATTAGTTGGATTCACAATGAACGAGGGATTATTTGATTACAACCCTATCTGGGACAAATCTGCGATGTTAATGCCGTGGGGCAAATCGTCTACCTACTTTAAGTGCAACGCTGGGCTGACATCTTCGTACGCCTTGACGATCAAAGCGACATCTGTCCCTGATACAGTTCCCAAATCCGATGGCAGACTGATTTTAAGCGATGCTCAGCTGTCACAAAACTTATTAATACGAGACCTACGATACATTGAGACATGGTAGATCAGCATGGTCGGCGGTCGTGAAGACATGACCCATTACTGAATCGAGGTTACAGTTCCTCATATTTACGGCTTGCTAGATGACAGAATTTTGATACTGGACAAACATGTTTGCTTATGAGAGTGCTTCGAAAGATTGAGGGAACGTAAAGCGACATGTTAGCATCAAGACCCCCTCCTCGGCTCAGATTTCAAGCAGATTAAAATGAGCCTTGCGCAAACGATGTCATCCTGTGCTCGTCAAGTTCCAGCCCATCAGACAGAAAGCTTCCAGACAAGGCAATCTCTATGGCACCTGGGAACCACACGCGGAAATACTCACTCCCGACTGGACTCGTCGCCACCACTTTGAATACAAGCCCGCTGTTGCGCGCATGTATGTCCTTCACTAGCATTCCTAGCCATTGCATGACCAGATACATTCCCCGGATGTGCAACTCACTCTGCAGAAAGTTCACACCATCAATCATACAAAAAATAACTCCGGATCCCAATTGGTTTACGATATTCTCGAATACGCCCCATAGGATTTCCAGATCATGACTTCGAATGGTTTGCAAGTCTGCCTCTGCTAGAAACCCCAACTCAATTTGATCCGATGAAGAAAGAACAATTTGTGAGATCAATGACCTTAACAAACCAGTGGGACCAGGAAGAGCACCGTCTGGGTCGCAGTGTAGACGGCAGAAGAATGCCAGAGGGCGAGCGCAATTGATGCGGGAAAGTGTCCGAGCAAGTACTGAACACATGTAGCTCAATGGCGAAACAAGATCGGTGTGCAGTGCATCAAAATCCATACCGCTTACGGTCAAGACTTCGGAGTTCATAGACTTAAACCAATTTTGAAATCTGAAGTCCTGCGTAATGGAGGTGATGCGGCCTTGATTTTGTGGATTCAGCGATTTGCCCATGAAAATGACAAACTCCGAATCTCTCTGTATGGCAGAGACCGCCTGCGTCTCAGCGTTCGACAACAAACCGAAACCAAGTGCCGACAATAATTGAGATGCTGTGACTTGAGAGATGGATAGGTGATAGTAGTTTGTGACCTGTTGAGGCTGTCCCTGGCGCTGCTGATTGATTTCAGCCCTCAAGGCTTTGATTTCCTCCATTTGCCCTATTGATATACGTCAATTCAGAGCATTCGGATTCCGCAAATTTTGGACCATACACTTAGAGTCCCTGGCTAGGCCATGAACGACATTCTCGAGTGATCTTATTGCCTCAAAAGACTTTTGCAATCCTATCTCTTGTCGCTTAGCTTCCTCAGCCCTCCTGTTTGATTCATCCCCTTGGAATTGATGAACTTCGTGCACGGAATTGCCAAGTGTGAGTATATTCTCGGCAACTCCATCAAATTTCAAATGAAAGCATTCTCTGACTGCATCGTCAAAGTGGGCCGAAGCCTCGTCGATGCTCGTGGTTATTTTGTCTCGTAGTTCGGAACCGTAGTTCTCACCCGCGAAGATTGATTTGAGTCCTGCCCTGAAGCCGCCGAAGTCTGAGATGAATCAGAATAACATGATTAGCTCAAGTTCAGTGTCAATGATATCTTTGGCAACGTACCCTTCATGAGGTCTTCAAGCCACTTGATCATTGCTTCGATTGCGACAAGGACTGCCACGTATAGTGTCTCCACTGCACTTCGAAGGAGCGGCGACCACGCGTAGAGCCGAACGTAGGTCTTAGTCGCATCGATCTCTTGTGACAAGGTAACCAAAGCATTCAACACAACGTCGACAAGCTCATGATGACGCTTCGCCGCCTTGTCCTTGTTAGAAAGTCACTTTTAGACTTGAAAGGCCTACAACATACACTGCAGATCAGCTTGAGACCGCCGCATATTGTACCAGTATAGTCTCCGCTTGGTACGAGCTCTATCAAAAACTCAATACGACGTGCTGAGGTCGTAAACAACCGGTTTTTGTAGCCGAATATGTTCCGTTGTGTCTTGTACTTATCGCAAACTGCTTTAGCCTCCACAAGGACATCCTCCCACGAGGTTGTGTTCCCCAGAATCTTCTTTGCCGCCGAATCAGATGATCTCAAGAGGAATCCTGTGATGTAGTCGTCAAACTTAAGCTTGCTGGCTTCAAGCCTTACCCCGATTCACGTTAATGATGAGACGCCGAGTTTGACAACAAAGTCGCGATCAGGGACGGGTCGACTTACTTCTGTGTAGCTGGGGGCATTTCTAGACGCTTAACAGCATCGTCAAATGCCCATGCAGGGTCCTGTGAAGACGCATGGTGTTTGATCCATCGTCCGTATTCTTCGGTCTGAGTCCATCCTGTCTTTGCGATGTCCATCGCAAGATATTTAATAGACTAGTTGGTCGCTGGCGATGCTTATCTGAGAAAAGACAGGTTGGAATTGAGTGATTGCTCGTACGGATAGTCAGATAGAGCTGCTCTTATCAAGATGTGTCAATCCATATGGAGTCCGTTTACCTCCATTGTCACAGCCTGATTTCCCATTTTTGAAGCCGATACCCCACTTGCCGCATCAAGACTGGCGTGCATATGCTTCAACATGAAGGACTGGGCTTGGCTGAGGCAGGGCGGCAGCATCACTAAGTACCTGATTGGATACACGATGAGGATGTATTCGAAAAGGGTGCGGTAGGGCCTCAGTAATGCTACTGATGGGGCAGTTCTGCCAGGGTAAGTATGCAGGCGTGCTTATCTACAGGAAAAATGAGCTGACACGAATGTGTCTTAACAGAGCTGGTCTGGCTTCTCTGTGTAACCTCAAGCAGGCTGTGATGCGAGGTGATGCAGTTGCCGTATTGTATATTTAATTGCAACAGGTATTGGAAACGATCAAAAATTGGATGCTTTGCCGTCCCCACTTGCTCGTCGTTCATCCAGGAAACATAGCGTGTATTATGAAATGAGTACATAGGCCCAACACCACAGCCACAGAACAATGTCAACCGCTGGAGAAGAGCATGGTGTCCCTGGCGATATGTTAGAGGTGTGTTAATGCGACATGTGCAAATGTTCAGCACTAAATTGTCTTGTGAGATGCAGGGCGAACAGGAAACAAACCATATCACCACGCAAGCAAGCGGGAGCTTTAGTCAACCACACAGCCAATCGACTGTCGCGACCATGACGGCCATCAATGACAATGGTGCACAACAGGAGGAGGACAATGAACTACTGCGGTCGCGAGTGAAACATAGGGCTGATGCAATCTTGAGCTCTCTGCTGCTTATGGGAAGCTGACTACGAAACATGTCTCGAACAGTTGAAGCCATCGACTCAGGAGATAAAAAGAATTTACTCGAATCAACACTCCGACAACATCTAGAAGACTTCCATTGTGTCGAGGAGGCGGTCCGAGCCCTTTCTCATGAATTCAATGAGAACGCCGATGAAAGAAGATCACGGTCGCCAACAACGCGTCGCTCTTCAGAGAGGGGCTCGGAACATTCAGACTCGGGTTCACCCGACGGCCACTCTGCTCGCGAACCTCAGAAGCGTCAGCGCTCAGTCTCTAGTACCTGATCCTACTCTCGTGGGGGAGTTTGTATTCCCAAACTCAACTATTGTCCTTGGCGGGAGGTTGCAGGCGACCACCCAGGAGGTAACGAGTATTTTGCCATAGACATTCCCTCAAATGAGCCAAACCGAGTCGAGCTCCTTACAGCCCGAGATCCTGGACCTCAACGTCAATCGTACGATGTCCACCGCTTGGCCATTCCCGCCGCATCCCATCAGGATCAATTCATACCAGAGAGAATTCGAGTTAAATCTTACCGTCTGATCAGATTCATCATATCTGCGAGTGATGAAGGCTCTTCGCAGCATCTAGGTCGAAATCAAGGCCTACATATCTTAAGACCTTTCAAAGTTCTCTTGGGACTTCAGGAAAGGCTTGGAGATCTTATATGTCATCTCGAGGATTCACGAAAGACACTGCAAGACAAAACTGAAGAAGAATACCTTGCACAGCTCAATGATGCTGATCTTGACCCAGTGCTAGACACGATGTATAAGGAAGACCCGAACCTCGATTCAACAGATGTAAGGGAAATTACCGCCTATATCTTGGACCTTCGGTGTTTGCAAGAATTCATCCAAACGAGATTGAAGCCCCGCGTCGAAATCATCGGAAAGATGGTTGAGCCGGTGAGGTTCTCTGAACTTCGGTACATCTTCCCCCAGGGCTCCCTGATAATCTCACGAGATCCCAAAATCCCGCAGAAGGTTTGGAAAGTCATGGGACGCTGTGGTGGTCGTTGGTCGCGACGGCGGTATGACGTTGATGTCCCAACACCCATCGTAGACGATTTCACTCCCTTCCTTGTCGATTGCTTTTGCCTTGACTACACTGGGGGGCAGTATGTACCAGTTTGGCAGAGATTCACCGTTTCCGAATTTGACGGTACTGAAGACATCAACAACTTGGCAATCGTACCAATCCAAGTGGCCGAAAGAGATCCGTCTTTTTTCAGCCGGACAGTAGTCGAAGAGCGTGGGAAAAAGTTTATTGAGCTCGCCTCTGCCGGAGCTCAGCATCGTTACTTCTCTGGACGGAATCTCCACCTTACGCTCAGAGGTACAAAGCTCGCTACACTGGGGAGTGAAGCAGCTCAGAATTCCTTGGAGTATACAGAGAGGATCGACAGTGAAGTAATTGTTGACATGACCCAAGCCATTGAGGAGGTTCCGGAGTGGGCTTATCCTAATGAACTTCCAGCTCGTCCGCCAGATTCTGCTGGCGAGCTGGCATCTGTTTACCGCAGCCGAACTCTTGGATCGACTGCTCTCAAAGACACCAATACGGGAGTTGCGGCATTTCGATTCTCGGAGCGACGCAAGTGGGCACAATGGGTCATCGCCGGATGTGCTCCATCTGGTGATGATCAATTGCTCTTGCCCAATAGAGTTTTCGCGTTCGTCCTACGGAACAGAAAATGGGGTGGGTTTCATTGCTCTCTCGACGTCCTTGGGCATGCCATACTGAGTATAAACATCAAGCATGTCTTCCAATAGTCCACGATATCCATGGGAACGACCTACTCCAACCGATAACAAATCCTCCGGAACCATGGAACGATCTTGAGCTGCCCACAGGCCACAAAGAGCTCGTACAATCACTCATCAAGTCACACTTCTCCCAAGACAAGTCACGAAAACTGCATTTGGATCTTGTGAGAGACAAAGGTAAGTATTGTACTGAAGTTAACTCATATTTACGATGAGGGTTTTCTCACTGACGCGACCATTTCTGCTACCCAGGGCGAGGGGTCATTATCTTGTTGCATGGTGTGCCTGGCGTTGGCAAGACTTCAACTGCCGGTGAGATGACAGTCCAAACGACACTGCGGCTAGATAGGAACTAAAACTCACAACTGGTTCACAGAATGTGTCGCTCAGGCCTACAATCGGCCGTTGCTACCTATCACATGCGGTACGCAAAAGCTTGTTTCAACCAGTTGAGGCCACGTCGACTGACAAAGACTGACAGGGGACCTTGGACTTTATCCCAGTGAAGTAGAGTCGAAACTACAAGAAATTTTCCGTTTAGCTCATGCTTGGAATTGTGTCTTACTTCTTGATGAAGCAGACATCTTTCTTGCACAGAGAACGACTACTGACATGAAGCGGAATGCCCTGGTTTCCGGTAAGGCTCTCGAGTTACATAATTTAGGATGGCGCGAAAACAACTTCCTAGAACATTCTCTGAGCTGACTACGTCGAAGTCTTCCTTCGCGTCCTAGAGTACTATGAAGGCATTCTTTTCTTAACCACTAATCGGGTTGGGACATTCGATGAAGCCTTCAAATCCAGGATTCACATGTCTCTCTACTATCCCCCACTGACGGAAAGTCAGACAGCAAGGATATGGAGCAGCCACATCAAGAAGGTTAAAGCGAACGGAATTCAGATTGACGAACAAGGTATTCTCGAATTTGCCCAGGAACTATGGACTATTCAAGGATATCCAGAGCGAGGGCCAGTCTGGAACGGCCGTCAGATTCGCAATGCTTTTCAAAGCGCCATAGCCCTCGCAGGCTACCACACTGAGACGGGGGAGCAAATTCATCTAACGAAGGAGAATTTCCGTCGTGTCGGAGAAGTCTCGGATCAGTTCAGTCGCTACATCTACAAGACGAAACTTAGTCACACGGATGCAGACCTCAACCGCGCTGGAGGAATCCGTCGTGACGAATTTGGACGCGACCCGGGCACACAGCCAGCGGTTCCCTGGGGAGAGAGTCAAGTTGTGGATCCATTCTTATCATCTAATTCTGCCCCCCAACCGCAGAGGCCGAACGTCCAGTTTGGAGGATCGGCGCAAGCGGCAAGATTTCAAAGTGTTGCGCAAGACCCTTTTCATCAATCGGCGTACTCGGCTTCTCCTTGGCAAACAACAACGCAGCCCCAGCAGCAGCCACAACACTCGCAACAAGCATTCCTCCAACAGCAGCCTCCGTCTACGCAGGTACAGCCAGGAACCCAGCAGATGTTCTCTCCGCAGCAAATTAGTCAGCCTCAAGCACATCAGCAATCACAGCCAACGTATTCTCAACCTGGACTTGTGGTAGGACCTGTCCCAAACAGCTATGAACAGCAAACGTCTCAGCCATTGCCTCAACAGCCAGAATTTGGAACCTCCCACCAACCAGTCTCTCACACTCAGATGCCTGGCAAACCGAATACTCAGGGTCTCACAGGTTTATCGCCATGGCAAATGTCTTAGTCGTGCCCGACTCAGTGGAAGGGGATGGTTCAAATGTTGAAGTCGCTTGATGACGTGCACGTACGGTATGGAGGGTGGTGGGGAGGGGGCTTCCTCAGAACACAGTTAGAAGACCTCAGGTGACTTTGTTCGTTTGCGAATGATTACAGGCTTGATCAGCATATATTCCATTGATATTTTCATATACTTCTTACTTGTCCTAGAATTATTGAACTCTTACACCTCATTGTTTTCTCAGTGCATGTATCGAGTTTCCTGCAACAGATTGATAAACCGTTGACGATGCAAATCAGAACCGGATTGTTTACCGCTTCTTTCCCGCCTCTACCATTTCATTACACCCGGCCTTACGAATATTTGAACTTTACGCCTAAGCATTGCTGTATTACTGTGGTGGCTTTTCCCCGGTTTTACGAGCGCAAAAGATCGACCTCAACGGGGTCAAGCATTGAGGGAAATCACACGATACGCTACATTTTTTTACGACTAGTACACTGTACGCGCAGTATGCCCCGAGCAGGCGCTCAACTCAATATGGCGATTTCGACCCGAAAATCGCCATCCAATTCGGGATGGGCAAGCTGCCCCTTTCGGCTCCTGGTCTTGCTGTATTACATATGTTTGCTGTTACTATGTGGAACTCCCATTTCTCAGCTAGTTTCACTCCACTTTCTCTCATCGTCCTATTAGTATCTCCCCATCCTAGGCCCATGTGGGTCAGGTGTTGCCCTCGAAATGGTGTATTCTGTTGTGACGACGATCTTATTGGGGTCAATATCGGGTTGATTACGCCTTGCTCTCATGGATTGCCGATTGCTGTTGACGGGCTCTGCTGCAACTTCCGCAATGTTCGATCCTTGAGGCAAGTAAGGGCTCTGAGGCTTATCGGTAGAGCCAATCGAGGCTTCCTCGCCACCGGCAGTGTTCTTCTCCACACTACTAGAGACTATGTGCTCGTCTGAGCCCCATGTAGTCTCATTTGGGATGGAGAGAGGGTGGCTTCGGGGTCCCTGCTTGCCTGGGTAGCTGCCCAAGCGGTACCCCTGGCTATCGCCCATAGCGCCGCTCTTGTTGGTACTAGCATTACGGCTCTTGTCGATAACGCTTTTGAAGAGGGGATAGACCATGGGCATGTTGGTAAGGACCACGGAAACGAAAGATTCTCGGACAGACCAGTAGCCTGATTGAGCGGGATCGGTGTCGCCAACCTGGGAAAGCAATTTGGTTAGTGACTCTCGGAACCAGCGTGGACCGGGTTCATTTACTGTAAGGATCGAGACGCAACGAAGGATACCGAACGTCATCTCAAGGAAGCCACCACTGAACATGATCATGAGAGTGACCTTCTTCCTCCAGGGAAGATGGGACTTCCACACCATCTGTGAAATGTCGAGTCAGCTCATACTTCGCTAATCTAATCAACTACGTCTCAGTTGAAAACATACCGGAAGAGGAATAGCCATGAGGTAGAAGTCTGTTACCGTGTTCTGCTGCAGTATTAGCGACCTCATGTAGAGAGAATATGGCGTGATGGCACCTTAAGTGTAGTGAACTTACCATGGCCATGACAAAGGTAGTTTGCAATATAGAAACGGCAGGCATACACGAGTCTTTCTTTGGTTAGTTCAGTTAATCTACGATATGATGCTTGACACTTACTCCCAGGTGAAGGGTTGATCTGCCACTGATTCTGAAACGGAATGCATTTCATGAATGCGACCAACAGACATGCAACGTAGGTTATGGGCATGATAATCATAGCCCAGAAGATGACTCGCTTCATCTTGTGAACCCCATCACTGGCAGATGTCAGCACCAAAGTGAACGATCTAGAAAAGGGTTTGCAGGTTCGCTCACGTAAGACGAGAGTAGTAAACTACCCAACAAGCCTTCAGTAACCATAGCAGAGTTGTGTATAGTAGAAGGCCAATGACATGTGTCTTGGAGCCGTTGACACGCAAGAGCCACTCTGGCGATGTTGGATCTAGAGCAGCTCGTTGGTCGTCGGTCATGCCATTGTTGGCAAACCCTTTCCAGTACGCAACGACAAAATATGCCGCCACTGATTCCGCAGTATACACCAGCTAGCAGATGCCTTAGTCAAATGTTAGTTAACTTGGAGACGATTATGCTTACGATTGCCAGAAGCATCAGAGCATCATCCCAAGCAAACTTCCGCCACCCCAATGTAGAGGCTCGGCTGTAATATCGTAATCCGACCACGAGATAGGCAGCACCCTGCAAGCCCCAGACCTCCTGAATAAACGCATTTGCTTCGGCGGCGGACATTTTGTCAACAAACAATAACCTTAATGAAAAGAACCGCCCGAGGTAGAAACAGAAGAAGCATAGCCGGACCCAGCAGCTAAGTCGATGAAAGGAGATCAAGCGGGAAACACAAAGTGTAAATAACTACCCGAAGAAGACTCTGAACAGAAACCGAATCGATGGAACTGGACCTGTAGCCCCGTGCGTCTGGCAGCTTGAATCGCTCATGTGCCCTTGCTCTTCTTTCTCCCTGAGGACCTGGTGCTTGTTCCCTGCCCGGTGCTCCTGGTTCAGTGCTCCCAATATCCAGCAAGGACCATGCCGATCGTGAGGCCATGGCAGGGGAAGGTCTGAATTAGGTGCTTATGATGGACATTTCACCTCTCCTATAGGACTGAAGGTGGTCAAGGCACGAACGGTGTCAATGTACGGACTGCTCCGTCAACCGTTTACTCTCACCCCCAAAGGATCAGGGGGTTTTCGTCACGGAGCCAGCTCCGCTTTCGATAACGACAGTGGCATAAGAGAAGTACCCCAGTTGATTCCCACTCTGAGTACCACACGATGAGGACCAAACCGTCCGATCGAAGGTTTGCTCGGGGAACCGGAGAGCCAGCCGGGAACATTGGTTCTCCTCAAGGCAACAAGTTCAAACGTTAATCGCTCCATGCTGTTGGTCGAAAATATGACCTGTGGCGCTACGCCACCACGATTTCTGAACCAATCCATACTGGAGCTAAGTTTTAGAGAGTTCACTAATCGAGTCCCGTCAATGGAAATTCTCCATCAAAACTGGCGGACTGTGACGGAAGAATGTCATTCATCATTAGTGATGTCTTGAACCCTGGTGGCTGGACTAGCATAGTCTTCAACATCCAATGTGACTCCCCTGCAGTTGTCCTTGGTATATTGCATGAAACGATATACTACAAGTTCCCATGAACCTGGAGCCGTCTTCCCGCGTTGCGCGCTTCCAGTGTCTGCAGCCGACTTCGCTTGCGGTGTAAGAAGGATATACCGCACTTCTGTTCTGTCACATTCTGAATTCCTTCGCGGGCCAATGGAACTGTAGGAATGTCGACCTCAACTTCTTGGCCGCATCGAAACCCTGTCAGGAACCCAGTCGCTCGGATGCCTGAGGTGCAGCATATCAATCCATCTTCTTTCGGAGCCCCGGTCGTAGGAGCACTGATCAACGCCTCGTAATGTCGGGAGCTATTCACCCCTTTTGTAACGCTGGGTTACCATTTGGAGTGTACTCGCCAGAGTGTCTCCATTGTGATAATACAATGCGACGAGTCATTTCTAGTTCCAACGACGGCAATGAGTGGTAATCAAGCTGTAAAAAGGTGGTAGTTGTGTGGATACAGACGTGGCATAGCACGAATCAAGATACTGTTTATGCGAGAATCTGCAGATAATTCTGCCCAGGGTTTGTTCTCCATTGTGGAAACGACTGCCCAAGGGTTCCGGGGTTCGATGATCCATTTAATGGAGAGACAACATCGTCTGCCCTCGAATAAGCGTTACAATGGACTCTTAACTCGCGCAACAGTACGCCCGTCGATCTGGGCCTTGTCGCGGCAATAGTCCGACCGTTATCGAATCGCTAGAAGAGTAATCACTTACATCCTTCGATGTGCCTGTCCCATAATCTCGTTTCTGCGATGCAGAGATATCGCCTCAAAGGCTCAACTAGCCATTCAACGTAACTGCCGGTGGGATCGCCGATACGCCGCGGGCCCAGGATGCATCACCGTCCACAATTTATGGTTACCATTTGCTTTTCTTGGCCCAACAAAGGACTCACCACTAACGGGCGGGCTAGTGGGGGAGCCGTTCCGTGGTCTCCACGGGTTGCGAATCCGTCTCGCCAACGTTGGCGAGAAGCGCACATTCCTCCAGTCGCATCTAGGCTGGCCGTTGGGGACGATATCACCTGAAGCACATCGCTTAGCCATTTCCTCGACCATGGTGTTGGCAAAAAGAAATACTGCCTGGCGCAGACATGTTACCAGCCAGCTGGTGGCGAGGTGAAATGTCAGATATCAATTATCCGGGGAATCCGGCATGAGCCGGGCCCTGAGACCTTTGCAGCAATGTTAGTGCAGTCAAGTTTGTCTCCCATCCAACGGTTCGGTTTGCCGTTGGAACTCGAATGAACTCATTTATCATGTTTGCTTGCTGAGCGCTGCGTAATTTCCCCACCTAGGTAATTTGCAAAGAGACGATCTCCTTGCTCTGTTGGATTCAGGCCATGTATCATCCAGCCGGTCCTCGTCGTCGTAGTCTTGATGGATCATCAACGAGCCCCCACGTTTAACGGCGCGCCATTCCAACCGTTGGAAGAGGGCCGGCCCCATTGTCCATATGAATGGCGCACGGACAAGCATCATGCTTTTCCATTTCGGTCCTGACTCGAGCCAGAAAGGGGAACAGATCGTCCCCCTCCCATGACCCCAGGGCCCTTTCAACACCGAGCCCTTGTCGGCGGGACGTTCCCGGGCGCTGGAGTGACGAGCCCGCTGCCCAAGGTCGCACCAGCGCGCCGTTGAAGACCCCCGCAGTCTTTTTGGAGGTGGTGGTGGTAGCATCCTCCTCCTCTGTCGCATCAAATCCATCGTTCGACCAACCATTGCACCCATTGGGCTGATCTGGCAGAGAGGAAGAGCTCATTAGATGGGAGTGTGGAGGTCCAGCCAAGACTGCTCATCAAGGGGTCTCTCGAAGACGAGTCAAGATGCTGACGGACCCCGCGACTTGAGCATATGCGAACCATCCCGCTTCGTCTTGTCTTCAACGCACAGCTCACACTCTCTTGTCTTGATTCCCTCGCATTCCTACACTCCCTAAACGCCAAACTTTGATACTCAAGTTTGTAAACGCCGTGCCGGATCAAGCCAAGCAAACATGGCCACTCCAGAATCGAACATAGATGTGTAAGCGTCCTCACCAAAAGTATCATCCATAAGCATGAACAACATTTCACTAACGTTACTTCTCATAGGCTCATCATCGGTGCCGGCCCTGCGGGGTAAGTTCAAACAGCGTGACATGACGCTTTCTTTTCTCTAAACCCTTGATGCCTAGCGGACTGACGAGGGTGAATGCCGGCACAGGTTGATGGCAGCCGCCTGGATGGCGCATTGCGGCGTCAACGCTCGCATTGTTGACAAGAGAAACACAAAGATCTTTTGCGGCCAGGCCGATGGACTCCAATGTCGCAGTCTGGAGATCTTTGACTCGCTTGGCTTCGCGGATCGGGCCTGGAAGGAAGCCAATCACATGATTGAGGTATGGATGCTAAGTACCACTCTGTTACTGAATGTCTCACGCTGACTTGGTCTATCAGATTTGCATGTGGGTATGTGACCATCATCATCACCATCATCCCAAGGCATTTGGCAAAAACAAATACTCACAATTCCAAGAACCCGGGCAATGATGGTGTAATTCGCCGCAGCGACAGAATCCCAGACACCATTGTTGGCCTCTCGCGCTTCCAGCAGATTGTCCTCCAGCAAGGCCGCATCGAGCGATTTTTCCTGGAGAACATCAAGAAGCACTCCAAGGATGCGATCAAGGTCGAGCGGGGGGTCCTCCCCGAGTCTCTGGAGATTGACCTGTCCAAAGTGGACGATGACGCCGCTTACCCGGTGACTGTCAAGCTTCGGACCCTTAACGAGGAAGAGTCTACCCCTCCTCAAGCTGCCAACGCGAGCAAGATCCCTGACGGCCTGTTCCGGAGCAACTTGATCCGGGACGATGACGAGGCGGACTTGATCAAGAAGGCCCAGGATAGAGCCGGCGCGAGTGAGATTGTCCACGCCAAGTATGTCATTGGGTGTGATGGGGCCCGCAGTTGGACTCGGAGAGCTCTTGGGTTTGAGCTGGATGGAGAGGCTACTGATTTCATCTGGGGTGTCATGGACATCATTCCCATCACTGACTTCCGTGTGTTATTCCCCTAGACATTTTGACGTGGATATGAGGCTGATACCTGAAGCTACGCAGCCGATATACGCATGCGCTGTGCCATTCACTCCGCCGAGAACGGCAGTTTGATGGTCATTCCCAGAGAGAATAAGCTTGTCCGCCTCTACATCCAGTTGAAGGAGGTCGCCCCCGACGCGTCTGGAAGAGCAGACCGCTCCAAAATCACACCCGAGCGCATCTTCGGCGCAGCGCAGAAGATTCTGAGCCCTTACAAGATTGAGTATGAGTACTGCGACTGGTGGACCGCGTACCAGGTGAGTTGCCTACCGGGCGCATTTTACTATCATCATGGCCTTTGCTGATAAGTTGCAATAGATCGGCCAGAGAGTCGGTACCGAGTACGATGCCCACGGCCGTGTCTTCCTCGCCGGAGACGCTGTACACACCCACTCCCCCAAGGCCGGCCAGGGCATGAACGTCTCTATGCAAGACACATACAACCTCGGCTGGAAAGTTGCGCTGGCCGCCAAGGGTATCGCGAAGCGCGACATTCTAAATACCTACCAGAGCGAGCGACGCCGCGTTGCTCAAGACCTCATCGAGTTCGACCACCGCTTTAGCCGTCTCTTCTCCGGCCGCCCCGCCAAGGACGTTCTGGACGAGGAGGGCGTCAGCATGGAGGTCTTCAAAGATGCATTCCTCAAGGGCAACTTATTTGCGTCTGGTCTCTCTGTTGATTACGGTGCCAGTAACCTGGTCGTCAAGGCAGGCGATTCGCTGAAGCAGGGTGATGGCAGCAAGGTGCTCAAGTCTGTCGCCTCCATTTCTGAGGAGGACTTCAAGAAGAAGCAGGCGCTGGCCACTGGTCTGCCCGTCGGTATGCGCTTCAACAGCTTCAAGATCCTGAATCAAGCCTGCGCTCGCCCTTGGCACTTCCAGGAGATTCTCAAGGCCGACGGTCGTTTCCGCGTCGTGCTCTTTGCGGGCAACATTCTTGATGCGTCGCAAAAAGCCCGCGTAGACAACTTCTGCGTGGCTCTCGACGCCCCCGACAACTTCCTCCGCAAGGTTACGCCTGCAAAGGCTCCTATCGATAGCGTCATTGAGGTTCTGACCATTCACTCTGCGAAGCGCACCGATACGGAACTGCTGAGAGACTTCCCCGATATCTTGCATCCTTTTGATTCGCATACTGGGTGGGACTACAATAAAGTGTACGTCGATGACGAGAGCTACCACGAGGGCTTTGGAGACGCCTACAAGAACTATGGCGTCGACAAGCAGAGGGGTTGCGTTGTGGTCGTACGACCTGACCAGTATGTTGCGTGGATTGGTGAGCTCGAAGACTTTGATGATTTGCAAAAGTACTTTGAGGGATGTCTGGTTCTGGGCCAGCCCGCTCCCAATGGGGTGAATGGCACGAACGGAACTTCATTGCCAGTGCGGTAAGTTGGCTCAGAGTCGTCAACAGTTGTATTCAAGTGGCTATTAGTAGGTCGTTTACCTAGATAATGTATCACCAATACCTACAAATGCCTACATCGGAGACAATAATAAGTCGTTGGTGAACAGACTACATAAACTTTTTGCTACTGAAATTTGACCGAGAAGACCGCATTGCTCCCGTGCCCAAACAATATCATCAAATGTCAGGTTGGCTTCTGAACAGAATTTCAAACTAAGGTAATTCGCCGTCGAAAGAATATAGGCCTCATGCTACGTCTGGGTACAAGCCATCACATAGTGGTACCTTGCAAATTGACATGCAACTTTCAATCGGCAACAAAGCCTTTCTATGCCTACTTACAGATATCTTATGATTACTAAATTCAATCTTATTCTTTTCCATGACTGGGAACCATCTTGAACAAATGCTACTAGAGTGACAAAAGTAAGCAGTGCCAAATTCAACAACGGCCAACATTCGGAATGTTCCGGGCCTGCTACCCGTGCGTTGGCTGATCAGCTTCAGGGGCTCTAGCTCTGTTAGCTTTGTCTCACTACAAGGCGCCGCTCCCCTCACTCTGACATTGAACCTTATAAGCTCCCCGCTGTGGGGATTATTGGGCTAATAGTGAAGAATGAAGATGTCAAACGGTACTCCAGAAAGCGTTGAACTGGGTTCAATCCTTCGTGTGTGGGCAGTGATTTAGTTGAGCTGTTGTACAAGTCACCTCAGTTGAAAACCATGTCAGTCTACCTACCATAGGTACTCCGTAGCGAGTATCGCTCAATAACGCGCTTCGGTGATGGTCACCCAAGGAATGCTAACAGCATAGGAAGTCTCCCTGGAAAGCGGTTCTTTCACAATGTTCGTCGCAACTATGCTCCGGATTAGTACTCAAATGCTAATTCATATTGAGACTCAGACCTCTTCATGTCCCTGGTGTCATTCAAGCGCGACGCCTGCCATCCGATGGCCAAGACGGCACTCCCCCTGTTGCAGAACGCCGCTAAAGTATCACAGACCCTTAGCCTTAATCAAAAGGACTATGCTTCGCGGGAGATGTGCGCTGCTTCCCACTGGCCCTAGAGTATCATATTGAAACAGCCTCGGTCAATTGCCTCATTTCTCATTTAAGAGAAACGCCTCGATATTGTTCGGAGAATTAGACGCCGCTTTCGACTCGAAACAGTGGGCGATCTTCTTCTTAGTCGACCCTCATCACAAAGCTTACTCTTAAGATCGGGGGAAACTTGGAACTGGCCACAGCGCATGGATGATTCAAGCCACCCGCACTGACCGAAATCATCACACCCTCAACTCCCAGGGGAATTACCGTGCCTGGCCCTGGTGTAGAACTCATCCAGAGCACTTGAGGGATCTGGGATCTAGAGCAGTCTTGCCTCTCCCGCCGCCAGCATCACCACACGAGGCGCTTCCCGTTCAACATCCCAGCCTGGTGCCGCTTCCCGCTCCACCCCCAGGATTATTAGCTGAGTTTACTAGAATTGAGCAACATCCATCAAACAACCATGCCCCCCACTAATAGCGCAAGTATGTGCAAATGAGGAAAACGCTGCGACCTCGGTTTGTCTGAGCGCTCATTCCATGTCCACTTGGACGTTGAGTCTCTCTGAACTGCCCAAGGTCAACTTCCACATGACGCTATTTTCAGTGTTCAACCATGTCGCATTACTCTTAGCTCAGTAAGCTTACCTTTCCATCGGTGATTTGCAGTCTTCCCTGAGTGTTGACAAATGTTTATCCCACCTGGGAGTGGCAAGACAGTGGCCAGCCAGATCTGTTGATAGATGTATATAAGTCGAGAACTTCTTCCGCAAAGTTATTGTCTTTGCCATTCTTCTTCTCATCATCGCAACACGGCCTCAAACATTCCTTCATTCTTCTCAATTCCGAAGCAAGTCTTCCATTCTATTCTTGACACGAAGCTTAACATTCATTTACACTCTCATTCCTTTCAACTATCTCCATCATTCAGATCAATATTTCAGCGACACCAAGTCATATCCACAATCTTTCAAAATGAAGGGCACAGTTCTCGCAACCTTTCTCGCCGCCTTCTCGGCTGGCGCCTTAGCCCACAAAGGCGGCTATGATAGCCCTACTGAAACCACTGGTGGCCAATCCGGAGGAAAGACCGGCGGCAAATCTGGTGGCGGCGGTGGATTCGGACTCCCTGGCTCCGGCAGCGGCAGCGGCAGCGGCAGCGGTGGTCTCAGCGGCATTCTTCCCACTGGGCTACCCATCGGAGGCGGCAGTGGAGGTGGAATTGGCGGCCTCCCAGGCGGCATTGGTGGTGGTAGCGGTGGTAGCGGTGGTAGCGGTGGTCTCAGTGGCCTTCTCCCCACTGGACTGCCCATCGGAGGAAGTAGCGGAGGAGGTAGCGCAGGTGGCATTGGTGACATCCTTGGCGGTGGCAAAGGAAATGTCCTCCCTACCGGGCTTCCGATCGGCGGTGGTAGCGATGGAGAATACGGAGGTGGTGGCAGCGGCAGTGGCAGTGGCGCCGGCGGTATTGGTGGTATCCTGCCTACCGGCCTTCTCGGTGGCGGTGGAGGAGGCCTCGGTGGTCTTCCTGGCGCCGGCGGCAGCGGCAGCGGCGGCATTGGAGGTATTCTTCCTACCGGTCTTCCCCTTGGCGGCGGAAGCGGCCTTGGAGGTCTCCCAGGTGGAAGCGGCAGTGGCAGTGGTAGCGGCGGCATTGGAGGCATTCTCCCCACCGGCCTCCCTGGTGGTGGTGAGGGCGGTATTGGCGGTCTCCTGGGAGGTGGCGGTGACAAGGGCCTCGTTCTTCCTACTGGCGGAGGCGAGGGAGGCATCGGTGGCCTTCTTGGTGGTGGTGGAAATGGCGGCATTGGCGGTGCCCTTCCTACCGGCCTTCCTATCCCGGGTATTGGCGGCAGTGGTAGCGAAAGCGGAAGCGGAAGCGGCGGCCTCCCCATTCCCGGCATCGGAGGCAGCGGTAACGGAGGAAGTGGGGGCATCGGCGGCATCATCCCCACTGGCCTCCCCATTCCCGGAATCGGCGGCAGCGGAAGCGGCAGCTCTCCCTCCGGCTTCGAGACCCGGATCCGCACCACCACTGACAGCGGTGATGGTTATAATGCTCCCGCTGCTACCCCGGCCCCTGAGGATTGGTAAATGTTTGAGCACTTACACTAGTAGACCTAGGTAGTTATTGATGCTTCTCAATTTGGGTTACAGCCTTTTCTGAAATACACAAGAACAAATCAACAATCTCCATGAGCTTCCGCTCCAGCCGAGGCAGTCCTTTCAAGCCGCAATCTGAGTACGCATGGCCTCCAATGGTGCACCTCCACTTGTGTTACCGACAACCTCTTCATCCGCTTCTCCAACCAGGCTGGATCCATCATCGCCATAGTCAGCCACCTGATACTTCTCGCTTTCGGCACGAGCGTTCAGTTGCATGTCGTCCATCTGAGCGGCAGCTTCGCTCACGCTCGTGGTGTCACTGTACGGATAACCTGCTAAGCCCTCCGGCAGTGTGGTGAGAGTGTTCGAATCATGGTTTCTTCCATTGGGCTGCTTCTGTTCCAGTGTCCTCTTCACATCATCATGCACGCTCTCCATAATCTTTTCAAGCAATCGCTGCGTCTTGGCGTCGAGGACGCCAGAGTCCGCGCCCTCAAAGACTCCTGGGATACGCCAGTTGGGATACAGGTTGTCGTGGGTCTTCCTCACTTGCATTCGATCGGGGTGCGCGTCAAAATAGTAGTCACAGAGCCTGCAAGTAGGTTTGCTGCTGCCAATGTACTTCCAACTGTTGAAGTAGTCCCTTGGATGCTGTAGATCTCGGCTTAACAGATAGCTGTGAACGAGTACTTCAGCATGAACACGCGGCTTGAAGGTGCGCTTGCCGATCTGCCTCTGGATGATGCTGTCAAGACCGAACTTTTGCATCTCGACGGCGTGCTGAAGGAACTCTTGTTGCTCCTCATCATCATCTGGAATCATGTTCTTGATTATGGATGCCGCGGTGATGGACATGGACTTCGTCAATGGTCTTCGAGCATCTTCGCTTGACGGAACAGCTGTGAACTTGAAGTCTTGAAAAAGCTTCGGTAGGCGCTCATGAGTGCCAATGATGGCATCTGTCGCACGGCGGAAGGAGAGCAGTCGTCCGAGATAGTGGCGCAACTCGGACCAGTATTTTGACTCGGAAATTTCTCCATCCTTGGCGTTTCTCATGATGGCCTGATCGATCTGAGTGTTCTTGATAGCCACAACTCCTTTGATCAGCTTTTCACAATCACTCAGAACTGTACTCGGCTTAGCTATGCTATGCATTCGACTGAATCATTTCACCGCACTCTCTTGATTGACCTACACTTGTCTTGAACGTTCCCAGATGTAAGATCCCGTGGAAAGTCTGTTTTGTTCTTCAGGACCAGGAGTTCCGACTTGAGGACTATAACGCACTAAACGTCAGTTTCATAGAAGGGAATCGATTACAGACAGGTCTTTTACCTTCCGGGGCCCCCCGTCTTTCACAGTCGTCAATGCAAGCGTCCAGATATTTGCCAACATTGTTCAGGTAGATATCGAGACGTGGCAGATTGAACAATAGTATCTTCCAAAGGACCTGCTTGGCGAGAGGCTTGGGCTTGAGACCAGTAGGATTCTTTCCCACCAAAGTAAGTAGGTCTTCGGCGAACTGCTGAGTCTCAGACAGCTCATCGGCGTCTCTGTGATTAGAACCGAAGACGTACTCTGGGCCGTCTTCTCCCTCGAGGACGGTGAATGAAGTGACTGTCTGACCGCCACGTTCATTGTCGCATACCTGGGCCAACTTTTCCACAAACGAGCGGAAGACCTGGACCTGACTGGCAAGGGAATCGTTCTCTACCTTCGGAGTACCGTTAAAGACGTCTTGACCGGCACGACAAGCTACTTGTAAAGCCTGCTCAAGAACGATGGGTTCGTAGAAGAGTTGGCACTGGTCTACGCCAGCGGGCTGTACCTCGGGAGTGGCTTGTTGGTTCATTGTTGCGACGGTCTTCAAGTAAGACGAGTAGCTTAGGGAAATAGGACTGACAAGATCTAATCGAATTGTCCGGAAGAGATCAGTGTGATGATGGATGAAAGATAGTTTCGAAATATACGACCGAAGTGGTCGAGAATCCGGGCCTTTTATATCTTGGAGACGCCTCTATTCACGATTTTATCATCACGGGCATGTCCAATCATTGAAGAATTAGTACACACCAACGAGAAAGGAATATACCCCCGACATGTCAACATTTTTCCACTTTCACTGACGCAGCACCAACATCGATTCCATGAACATCTACATGCTTCGTGATATCGCATGATGCTGTTGGAAGGACACTCAGATTATCCAATCGCGTGTAAGCCCCAAAATCAGGTCAGTGGCTACTAGTCCCGAGAGCCTGCCTGAGCCCCCTGCTACAGCAGAGCCACGCCCATTTCACGACCCGAGGTAATGAGGCGGTCGAACTTGGGTCGCCACGCAGGAGTATCCGCAGTGACAGGCTCAACATCATTACCACTGACCAGAGAAACCATTCGCTTATTCCTGCATTAGCGTGAAGTTCAAATGTGAGGTTTGGCTATCCACACCTGGCTTAAGGACAGATATGGGCATATACTAAATGCAGAGAGATTCAGATGTCTATCTCCAACACCTGGCAAGGCTTCGAAACACCGGTATTGTACTATGTACATGGTATTGGCATGGACCTACAAATAGAAAAAAGAAAGTTCACTACCGGTGTGGCTACATCTCTCGGTGCTCATGCTGGAAGTCGAACTCGGAGCCTGTCGTCGAGTAGGCTGTGCTGATTGAGTGTTGACCTTCTCTCCCCTCTCCAGCCAGAGTTTGATCGGAGGAACCAACCTAGGAATGCGCCTGCTGTGCTGATGAAAGGAACTCAGTTTATATGGTCTATATGGGGTCGTTTTCACGGTAAATCCAGTTAACCTTGAACCAAATGCACATACATGGCGTCACGGGATGATTCACCGAATCTGGCGCGACTCAAATGCAGATTGGCAGGCAGCCGGCAGGCAGCCGATGTCAACTGTCGTCATTGACAGTTCGCCGCATATGTCGGCAAATCTTGGGCCATCCAACATGAGATATGACACCGAGAAATGCTAGCAAGTCTCCCCTGCTTCCTAACCTGCATCTGCACGAATTACAGTATGTCCCACTCACATAAGCTGAGAAACGATGAAACCCTCGCCGGTCGGCCTCCCGCATCGTGGAGGGGTCGAGTTCCGACCTATTCTGTTTTACTCGTTCTTTTTCAAGTCACTGAAGCTGGGTAAAAGAAATTAATTACTTCTCTGCAAGGAAAGGTGCATCATCAAATGAGATGGAAAACTTGTTTATCGAGCTGATGTCATGTAATTGTTCCTCTCTTTTGGGCATTGAATCCACTGATCTGAAATAGTATACAGAAGTACAGTTTGTGCTTGAAGAGGAAGCATGTTACTAGCTGTAAATGCACTTTTCCATGTATCACCCATAGGCAATTACATGTACGTAGCTAACTATGAGATTGTCCCACAGAATGGCTTTAACTCGTGTGCAATAAGTACTAATGAGTTCAAGGTAGTGGAGGTATTGAACCAATGGCCGTGATCAATGACAGCTACGCTGTGGTTTGGGATTGGACTCAGCTACGAGTGTCCTGAGATATTCCGCCATTTCCAGACCATCAGCCAGCCACGAGATTGCCCCTCAAATTGACCGTGGACTCTACTAACGTTAGGAGATCACGTTTGCCATTCCGCGCGTCGCGCTCATGACCTGATCCAGACCTGCAAACACTATCACATACATATGTGGACTGAATACTTCTGTTCATTTCAGCTTCATCAGGCCAGAACTTGGACATTGGCTCATTGTTTGCAGTGGCAAGATTCTATGCTCATAGTGTCATCTTACTGCGGCCGAGAATATTGGCGCTAGCTTTTGGTGTTTAAATCAGCTGGCCTGGAACATTTCCCTCAATCGAGCAGGGCCTGCAATAGTTATAAACGCTTGCGGTCTAGCAGTAAGATTTGGCAAGGGGTCTAGTCGTGGGTCAAAAGTAAAAGCTTGCGACTCAGCTGAAGATCAAGTAGAGTATCGTTTGATAGACTGATAAGCGAGAAGCTATAGAAACCGTTAAGATCTACATCTTAATCTTAGTCTTGTTCATTGATACCATACCTTTTAGTTTGTGAAAGTACAAAGCCAAGCTAAGTCCCATACAAACTATCAAGTCGAATCCATCGTTACGGTCATAAATGTCGATTCAGGCATCACATCAAAATGGAACAAGAAAATGAAGTCAAGCCTTTCACAGATATTCGAGACGTTCTCTACCATTGGATTCAAAATGATGGCGCAACAAAGAATAATGGGCTAGTAAGAGGCGACCGTGTACTGAACACAATCCAAATTGCTTCTCGAGAGAAGGGTGGCTGGGAGGGTTGGCGCAAGTCGGAATCGCCGACTTCATCAAGTTAAGCTACACAAATCTGAGGGTTACTCGTGAGGACGGCGTCTATGATGGCAATACCCAGCGATCAGATCTCGTCCTGGAGGGCTCCGGTATCCGCACCATCATCGAGCTCAAGTGCGAGCGCGGCGACGTGCCCAGTCCAAAGTGGATTGTGGACGAGGTTATCAAAGACGCTGGAAAGCTTCAGCAGACGTTGAAGGACAAGTTTCGGCCAGTCATATGTTACGCAGTCGGCATCGCAGCCACGAAGGATGCAGACAAAGAGATCCAGAATGCTTTCAATGCTAGCAGGATTCCGCGCACAGGCTTTTATTGTAAGGATTCCAAAATCTATGTGTTCTAAGTAGAGAGGCATGTCTCCTGACGGGAAACGTCGTTGCCAGAGAATCAGCGCTAAGTTGCCCCGGAGTTGCATCAACCTCGAGTTTGTCCCCTGATGCAATAACGCACAAATAATGACACACGTCAATAACGCGACCCTTTTCTGGAAGGACCTGAAATGATAGGCCGGGTAATGACTTTTCGAATGACTACATGTTTGGTTATGGGCAGTGAATAATATTAACGCACCCCGATCTTACAAGCCGCGAAGTAGGTATGTGGAAAGCCCGAATCATGGCCTCAGACTTGCGAAGAGCCCAGGACGTGTCAAAATATCCTAAGACTATGTCTCGTGTTTGTGGCGAAGGACGCGAATCCGTAGTGTGAGAGCAGGCGCTGCGAACGTACTGCCAGTCAGAGACGCCTCCAAAGCCACCTCCGCCAGTCACCATGAATCGTGACAATATTTTACCTTGCATCATGTTCCGAAAGCAAGTCTCGAAAGCTCAAAATAAACGATAGAACGCCTGTATAATGATATCTGAGTGAAGTTTTGTGTTGAGGATTCCATTCAGATTGGGGCATAGGAAGATTTTCGAAATACTCTACAATACTATAGCTTACTATTCAATTAGGATCAATGAAGATTTCGAGAGAGGTACTGCTGAATATGCCAACCCGTCGGGTGAAACGAGGCTATGTTACAATGAGTAGGATGGGACGGGTTGGAATAATGTCTTGAATGGTATGGACATGACCAGTACAGTAGGTCGCTAACATTTTAATTAGTACTTATGAGGGTGATCATGTGTATTCCAAGATTATATAAACACAGGGTATTCCAATGTAAGTCACACTTGCAGTTGTCGAAGGTGCGTACCAAGTACATAGGGTAACGTTCATAAGTCATTTTCCTAAGTCTCCCAACTGTAAGTATTGGAAACACATTCATCTAGCTAATTACAATGATTCTACCACAACACCCAATGCCGCACTGGCTTCCTTGATCTTCTCCTCCTGCCAAGCAGCACTCTCCTCCGGTAAGACGAAACTTGAGAAGGCCTCGCCAGCATTTTGAATGAGAGTCTCGATACCCGGGCCGTTCGTGAAGACGGTGGATCTCACAAACCGAGAGCCGTACTCCAATGTGAACGCTTGTCCTGCAGAGACCAGGAGGGTCTGGCCCTCCCGGACCTCTGTCCATGAGCCAGACTCCTTGAGCTTGACTCTCAGGAGACCCTCCTGGACACAGAAGCAGTGGTCCACCTCCGGGAACGTCAACCACCGAGCAAGCGGGGACTTCTCATATAGCTTGGAAGACTCGAGGCTGGTGATGGCGAACTTGCCGCTGCACTGGGAGGCGTTGATGAAGGGTCTGGAAAGAACACCACCCAGGATGTATCTGGGGCCGGTGTTGGCGCGGAGGAAGTACGGCTCCAAGGGGCCGGGGAGAACGTTTTCTGACTCTTGCCAGTCTGCGACTTCAGGAGGGGTGTAGTTGCGCTCAAAGTTTACGTCGAACCGATCCTTTGCGGCCATGACCTTGGGAATCAACAGGCTCTTCAGGTCACGGTTGTCATTTTCTGGCACAATGATACCCTCATACTGCTCCGCGACGTAGCGGAAGAAGTCAACCCAGTCACCCGGTGCAACCAGCCCCAGGGTTTCTGTGTGAGGCCCGAGAAGCTCAGGGTTGTGTACAACTTTCTGTCATCGAATTAGCTGCGAACGCCACAAGTACGCAGTGTTGGAGAGACTTACAGGGGGAACATAGGCGAAGTCGCCAGGACCCATGATTCTGCACTTGTCGCCGTTCCATAGCTTCAGGTATCCCTTGGTCACTAGGAAGACGTCGTGCGCCTCGGCGTGCCAGTGGAAGCCAGGCGCATCAGAGAGGACGGCACCGCTTGAGAAGACGGCGATGCCACCGTTGGTCTGTTTTGACGAGGCCAAAATTCTGAAGACACCCTTGCTACCGGGGATCGTGACGCGCTCACCCTCGAGCTGGTCGATAATGTAGCTCGTCCTGGCATCAGGAGGGGTGGAGAGAACGGGAATGCTCATGTTGGGCAAAGTGATTGTGGAATTGTCCAATCAACGAAGAGAGAATGAAAGATGCTGGGTAAGAAAATGTGAGTGGGGGCGTTTGTCAAGGGTCTAGATCTCTGGATCGTGGACACACAAGTTGGAGACTTTGGAGTTGTTGAGGGGGTTTGCTGAAGATGGGCTCTCTTCACGTTCCGGGGATGCAAGCGGCGCCAGTCCAGCCTTTTACAGAGCTTCGCTTCCCCGCATTCTAACTCTACTTCCAGTTCGACGGGAAACTATTTGACGCCGCCCACCGGGACCACATGTTTTGCTGCCCCTCGTAAAGGCCCCCCAGTTCGGCTCGTCAGTGCGGGAGTTCGGATATCCCGGGGAAAGATCCGGAACAGCCCCGATACAGTAGCGGAAATTCCGCTGTTTCGAACAATCGTCAATGGGCGTAGCCAACGTTCACGTCGCCACGCGGTCTCCGCCGCCCGGAAGCCCGGCTCGGTGGGAGATTCTAGCGAGCCTCGTGGGCCGCGTCTCCAGTTTGCTTCCCATTGTTAAGCTATCTAGGTTGTCCCCCGCCACATCATTACCCCGGACTTTCTTTGATTGCACTTTCTGCGTCTCTCAAATTATCACTGCCGCTGTCACTGCTGCTGTCATTCCTGAGGTCACGGCCACTGAGACAAAGCCACCTTACCAGCCAAGAACACGACAAACCAACAACTTTTTCGTCATGGCAAGCCCAGCCTCTTTCCGTGCAGTCTACAAGACCATATGGTCACAAGAGATCGATGTGGATGTCTATGCCCCGCCGCTTGGGGAAACCAACAAGGCAAAATGTCCGGTTGGTATGTATACTCAGAACCCTTGCATGGCGGGCCACACCAAAGGTCCAATGGAGCAACTTCGGATTAACAGTCGTGTGTCTAGTCATCAATATCCACGGAGGCGCATTCCATCTCGGCTCCTCCAAGATGGTCAACAAGGACCAAGTAGCTGACTGCCTCAGCAGAGGCTGGATTACCATAGCCCCTAATCACCGTCTGTGCCCTCAAGTCACGCTTCTGGATGGGCCGATGAGAGATTGTCGTGACCTCCTGGGATGGGTGTATGATGGTGGTCTTCAGAAGGCCCTTGACGCTAATGCTGATGGATCATATGCCGTTGACACTGACCATGTCTTTGCATTTGGGACGTCGTCTGGCGGCACTCTATCCCTTGCCTTGGTAAGTTCATGCAACTTAGTGTCTGCAAGTCATTACAGTTACCAGATTCGTCCATGCTAACCCATGGTCACTTTACAGGGCTTTGGAGTTGACCGCCCCGTTGCTGGTATTTATGACATGTACGGGCCTAGCAACTTCACCCACGCGTTCTGGGAGAAACCATTGCCGCACGTAGCAGCAAAATTGCCCAAAGGTCTCACACAGGAATTCTTGAACAAAGTCTTTGACGAAGACCCAGTGCCAATTCTTGGAGGAGTGTCACTGGAAGGTCAGGCGCCAGGGCCGCCCAACTTTGATGACCCGAGACAGGCGTTTGCGATGACACAAATAGCCACCGGCAATGTCATGAACACAATTGTTCCTGACAAGAACTGGGATGCGGTCGACCCCATCAGAAACATCACTACGTCTTTCCCGCCGACTTTCATCGTGCATGGACAGGCGGATACTATGGTGCCCCTTGAGCTTAGCCAAGATTTGATCAAGGTGCTGAAGGAAAAGGGGGTCAAATCTGAATTGAGGGAAATTCCGGGCGAGGAACATACGTTTGCCGCCAAGATGAAGGTGGGATCCCAAACTTGGAATCTTCAGAGAGAAGGCTTTGACTTTTTGGAGAGCTTGGTCAAAAAGTGAGCCAGGGGCAAAAAGGAGTTAGTTGAGCGGAAGCTAAGGTGGTCAATATGGAATGGACTCATCTGGCTCAAAAACTAACTACATGAAAATTGCAAATTCGATTGAGAAATGTGGTTGGCTGCGCCAAGTGAGACTTTCAGCTTCCTTTGAGCCGTAAATCATTCAAACTGTCAGTCATCGAGTTCATGCATGAAGTTCAGACTATACGAAACTCAATCGTGAATTCGGATGATCCGTACGTGTGTTTGTAATTGTAGTGTGTCTCGGTCGAATTGACAGCGGGTAGTAAACGACGCAAAACCTGACACGCAAATCCAATACTCGACCAAGAAGAGAAATACTATGGATAACATAGTGCATCAGCTGCACACTTACGTGTCAAGCGTGACAGAAACCTAAGCCACCCACTCTTTCATGTGCCGGTCAAAACGAGTTAGCACCATCCGGGGTCCCCGCCACCCTAAAGTGTTGAAGAAAGTCTGGGGTGCAGCCGGGAACTCCGACCCATGCCCGGATCGATCCCGGTTCCAGCGTTCGCCAGGAGTCCTCAGTGCAACTGTAAAGTCGGTCAAAGTTTGATATAACCCTCCGAGCCTACTTTATCCATCAGCCCATCTGAGTTCTGGCATCGACTGACAGACATCCCATCCCATCAACATCCTCAAATCGGCAACCTGAGTCACCGACATCCCGTCTTTGACAACTTCAGACCTCTTTGCCACCCCTGCCACTGTGCATTACGCTGGAACGTAGGCACATTTCCGAACCAGACTCCGGGTCGGCGTAACTCCATCGCCGACAGAAGCAACCCAGCAACGACCAACCGGTCGTAGAGTTCTAATTCACAATGGACTCATCACCTACTTCGCCTCGCGATGACATTCGCAAGAGCGATGTTATGATCGACAAGGTCGACGTTCAGCACAATGAGGAGGCTTTGCGTGAGGCTGATCGCCACATGAGCCCCATGAAATGTCTTTGGGACAACCCAAAGGTGTTGCTGTGGACTATCTACGCCAACTGTAAGTAATTCTTCTTGATGGAAAACTTGTCAACTTAACTAACTCTGGGAATTCAGTTGGCTCAACTTTGATTGGTTTCGAAAACTTGGCACTCTCAGTATGCTTGGCCATGCCGGCATTCCAGTAAGCCCCTCAAACCCCTGAAGAATACAACGAGTAATCACAAACTAACTACTGTGTTTCTTTAGGATGACCTTTGCATCTGAAGTCAATGGAACACTCATTATTCCCGCCTACTGGCAATCTGCTTGGAGTGCGATGTACAATGTCATGATGTTGTTTGGTTCTCTCTTCGCCGGTTACATGCAAGATTGGTTCGGTCGTCGCTCCGTCTTCGCTTTGGCATCAGTCATCGCCTCTGCCGGCATTGCCATCAGCTACATCTCCGTGACACCACCGGAATTCTTGGGCGGCAAGATTGTCACTGGATTTGCTGTCGGTCTCTTGACTTCTACCACGCAAACCTATGTTTCCGAGATTGCACCCCTGCCCGTTAGAGGCATTTGCTTGTCTATCAACACCATCATGCTCGTAAGTCTTATCAACATCCTGCAATAAGTATAACCTGAGGAACATAACTCTAACCAAAACGCAAACAGAACCTTGGCATGCTCAGTGCCATCGCTGCCAGCTTCTCCCGCGTTGCTATTATGGACAAGGCCGCCTTCCGTGTCGTCTTCGCTGCCGCATGGACATTCCCCGGCCTTATCCTCCTCGGTCTCCCCTTCGTTCCCGAATCGCCCACCTGGTTGGTCTTCAAGAACAAGCACGACGCCGCCCGCAAGGCCCTCGAGAGGCTTTCCGGCCCGAACGAAGATATCGATGCGCGCCTTGGCCAGATCATCGACAACGTCGAGACCGAACGTCGCCTGCAGATGGAGGCCGCTTCCTACCTAGACTGCTTCAAGGGCACCAACTGGAGACGCACGCGCATCATCCTCATCTGCTTCTACATCCCCCAGGTTGCCGGTGCCGTGCTGTCCTCCAACGCCCCTTACTTCCTCAACCAGACTGGCCTCTCTAGCAAGACTGTCCTTCTGCTCGTCCAGGTCGGTATCGCGGCTGGTGTCGTCTCTGCCATCGTCAACTCCATCATGATGGGCAGACTCCGCCACCGCCCACTTCTGTTCTTTGGCGTCTCTATCTGCGTGGCCATGTATTTTACCATGGGTGTCGCTGCCGCATTCCCCAAGACAAACGCCTCGCTCTTGACGATTGGAGTCTCGCTTGTATTCACCTCCATCTCCTACGGACCCGCAGTGGGTGCCTCCATGGCCGTGGCCGGTGAGGTCTCCGCTTCAAAGCTCCGCGCCAAGTCGCTTGGTATCGGCTTCGCCTTCTCCTCCATCGTGTCCACCATTTGGACCATCATCCTGCCGTACCTCTTCAACCAGGACGAGCTCAACATGGGCGGTCACATTGGGTGGATCTTCTTTGTCATGGGCATTCTCATGTTGGTGGTTCTCTACTTTGATGTTCCGGGCACCAAGGGACGCACGTTTGAGGAGTTGGATATCATGTTTGAGCAGGGCATCTCGGCGCGCAAGTTTGAAAGCCACAAGCTCAACCTGGGTCCTGTGGACACCAAGTGAGTTGTATGTGTGGCCGCGGCCCGCGGGATGTTACCAACAGACGCGTGTGTGTGCGTTTAGTCATGGGCCCTATCTCCTGTTTTGGGACGACTTTTGTTTTGAGTATCGAAAACTGTTTTGGTAGAGAACTGGAAATGAGGAAAAAAAAACTCTTTAAGCGGGTCTCGCCGCAGTTGCTTCAAAAAAGTGTCCTGCAATCGCTGAACATGAATCCACAATCGCTTGTTGATCAACCTTCTTTTGTGACAGTAAGTTCTGGACATCTGCACGTTTTCGGCCCTTCTCGATCGATGCAACACTGGCGGCAAAGCCGACGTAAACAAACCGGAATTCCCGGCTACAAGTGGAGATTCTGTAACCCCGCACAGAGGGGAACTCGACGTTAGTAAGCAGTAAAGAGTGAGAATGGCAGAAAGAGTTGACTCGAATTGACCGGATAGAAGGCATGGATGGGTCAGTCTAGGGAGCAGAGAAGCAGTGAACACCGATCCTCAATGTTCGTCTGATACAGCCCAGGGATAGGAGAGGGATCAAATCGAATGGAGCTGGTTCATTGATAGTATGCCGAGTTATGACTTTGTCTCCCTGGACCATCGGTTGCCCCTATTTTTTGTGCGCGACTCAGTCGCATTGCCGTCATCACAGCCCAATCCCACGTGAGGTTGCTCCTGAGTCAACTCCATACTATCACAAAGTGACAAAGCTCATGTTTTAATCTGTTCCAAGGTGAGAATGCTTGATTCAACAGGACATCCCCGAAGATCGGGAGACTAGGGTGTCGGCTGACCAAGCTTACCAATAGAGACACATGTAATTTGCTTGAAGAACCTCTCCCCCAGTCTCCCTCGATCCGTCTCCCTCACCCCCAAGCCCCCTCCTCCTAGTCTCTATCCGTAGCCTCTTTGCTGCCCTCTCTCCCTGAACCCTCTCCCCGGCGTTACTACTCTACCCCACAAAACATTCCCCGCATCTGCTTGCCGTCCGTCGTAGCACTTTGTGCGGGGGTGGAGGTCGATCGTTTGGAGCGCGCGTTCCCACGTTCCTGCGGCACCGGCAGCGTTTCGGATGCGCGCGGCGAGCACAGCAGGCGGGCTGTTTTCACACCTTTTTCCTGCATAACGCATACCCAGCTTTCCCATCCACCAAAAAGATCTCCATCGACAAACGAAAGACGGCGGATGTTCCGGTTCTGAAGTCATCGAACATCTGATTCTGGCCTGATACTTTTTATTCTACCTCAGTCTTGTTTTCTTATTTGTTCTTGGTTCAATGGACGCTGCTGCTGCTGCAGAGACCCAGCGGACGACGCAGAACTCGGGGATCAAGGTCCGTCGCCCCCGGGCCGCCCGCGCATGCGATCTCTGCAGGGCGAAGAAGAACAAGTGCGATGAGTTGTATCCTTGCACCTACTGCAAGAGTATGTTTGTCCACGACGATGATGAAATCTCTGCAGGCAAAAATGCCTCAATAGGAAGGGTTCCTAGGGCTAATCGCGCGAAAGTAGATCGGAATGCGACATGTGTCTACAAAGGCCAGGATATGTCAAGGAGGCTCTACACTCCAGAGTATGCGCTCCCTTGGGAACTTAACTTTGATCTTTTTAGCTTACCTCATCGGCACCTATCAGATATGTGAGACAACTAGAAGAGCAGGTCAAGAGCCTTTCCGCAGTCGCCGAGTCCGTCAAGGCTCAGTCGGTCGATGACAATGCCTCAGTCATCGCCAACGTCCCCGAGATATCAGAGGGATTCTCCCCGGACTGCAGCCTCCAGAGACGGCCATCGCGGAGCACCGCCGCCGGCTCACCATCGAACGCCCGGTCACGGAACGCGGCCGGCCAAGAGATCTCCGGCGTCAACCGGCACACGCGGAACGTTGAGTTCTACGGCAGCTCATCCTCCGTCGCTCTCCTATCACACGTCCAACGGACAGGAGATGAACCAGTCATCTCCCCGGATCTTGACTCCGACGCCGGGACTCTTCTCTCAAGCCTGCACAACCCGGCCTTCTCTTCGCCTTCGGCAGACCAAACACAGACGCCCGCAGCCGCCACCGAGCCGAGGTCGGCCGCGAGACCGGTGACGCATTACCCGCAGTGCCGGCACTTTCTCCAGAGCTTCTTCTCCAGTATACACTTTGTCCATCCGATTCTCGACAAGAAGATCTTCTTCGACCGGTGCGAGGAGCTGTGGTCGAAGCCGGACGTTGCGCGGGAGCCTTCCAGCTTTATTGCACTCTATTACAGCATATTGTCGCTGGGCGCACTCATTGGCGTCCGGGAAGATGAACCGATTGATGGGATTGAGAACCTGCAGTGGAGCCGGAAGTTCTTTGACGAGGCGAAGAGGCGGTGCGATCAGCTAGGGATGGTTACGGACCTGGAAATGGTTCAATGCTACGTCTTCTTGGTGAGTCTAGGGCTACACGACTGAGGATGCTCGACGCTGACGTTGTTGAAAGGCCAAAGTGTGCCAGAACGAGCTGAATGCTCACTGTGGGTGCTTGAAGCTGTTGGAGACTTGTTCTGCTGTACTAACTTCTGAACAGGGGCATACATGTACGTCGGTCTTGCCGTGAGAACGGCGCTTGCGATGGGCATCAATCGAGAACCCGGACCCGACGTCAAGAAGGAACCCGCTGAGCTCAGAGCCGAGTCAAGAACGTGGTGGTAAGGATGCCGAGCAAGGAGAGTCTAGAGAACTGCAGATGACTGACAAATCTGAACAGGGGTCTCTATTCATTAGAAACGTAAGAATACTAGCCGGAGTAAAAGTTCGGCTCGTGCCGAGAAGGCAGAAAGACATTCTAACTTCCCTCTCAGAGAAATGTCCTTCTCGATGGGTAGACCAGATACACTCGGCGCAGATTTATACCACAACCGACTATTCCCTGTCATTGGCGAAGCAGACACAGAATATTCCGGCAGTCTAGAGCTGGTAGACCCACCCTCATGCGCCATCATCAAAAGTATGGTAGACTACTCCAAAATCATCCGAAGCATCTGTTTGGGGATCTATCTCCCGGAGACGACGGTACCACGAACCGTCCACCTGGCGCACCAAATCGACCAGGATCTGCAGCGATGGGCGGAAAGCCTGCCTGAGCCTATCCGCCCTACCACATCCGTCGAGCCGCGCTCGCTAAAGAGCGTCAAGGAGGCTCAGTGGATGAAGAGGCAGAGGCTTGTCTTGACTATGCGTGAGTTTTACCCTCCGGTTTCGCTTGCGGTTGAGGCTTGGGCCGTATCTGACAATGCCATGCAGGGTTTCTCAACATAAGGATACTCCTCTTTGGGTCGATTATTCTCACATCAACCTCGGCGGAGCGGGCCTCCATTCCGGGCTCGCAGGAAGGCATTCACCTCTGCCTTGAGTCTGCGAAGCAGACCATTGAAATCATTTATCAGACGTATCAGCATCATGACTTTTTCCGCACATGGTCAGTACTTTCCATACTGTTTGTGATCGGTAAATGAGGCCGCCCTGCTAAATTCCACGGTCTCACAGGTTTTACAACACAACATACACTGTCTTCGCAGCATCCATGATCCTAGTATACGTGACACAAGAAGCGACAGAGCCCGAGGTGCAGCCTCTCTTGAAGTTAGTTGGCATGGCCATTGAAATACTCGAGACCATGGACGAGTGCGTTGTCGCGCTGAGGTCAGCCAAGTTATTACACAAGGCCATCCAGAAGGCGGAGAAAAAGTTTTCCGCGTCGACCCCCGCAGATCTACAGATTCCCGCGATGCCACCGGCTGATGCCATGCTCCAACTCAATCACTACTGGGGCCCGTTGAACATTCTCGACAACGAGATGGACTTTGGGTTCGCGATGCAGTTTGCGGACTTTGAGGGGACGAATTCGCTGTTTATGGCGCTCGATGATCCGAGATCAATGCAGTAGATGCCGATGAAATGATACAATTGAACAAAGATGACACATCTTCACAACCAGAGACTCCAAACATCTTGAAGCCCCGCACGAGCGTACTCATAATTACTTCAGCCACTATCGAGGTGTTGTTGACATTTGACCCTGTTCGGCCGATTGACCGGTCGTGTTTACTGGATGATCATACTCTTAATGACCAAGCCTTAACTATTATCAGCGAGACTGGGCCAACGTGACAACCCGGCGATGGTGTTTTGGAGAACTGCCGGTCTTTATTGCCACAAACGCGTCTTTTGGACTTTAAATAGCGTGCATATGACCCCGGAGATTCCCACAACGCTGAAAAGCCGACAATAATTGGGGGGTCCCTTTGACTCTCCGGAAAAGCCGAAGGTGACACGGAGCCTCATCGAGGGGCAAGCCGCCGCACACCACACTAATGCTGACAACTGAGGGGCGGTATGTGGGGGGTTTTGGAGAAACCGATCTGATCTCGCGGGGAGCCTTGCACTCTTGGAGGAGGGGAGATTCCGGGGTCGGCGAGATCGGTCGCCTTTGGCCGACATTTTTACATCATCACATGGGGAAGTGTGGTAAGCTAGACGTCGGAATCCGGGGTTCACGATCTTTTGTAGCATGGGACAATAACAATTGCGATCCTTGAGAGTTCTGATCTAAAAAGCCAGAGCTGCCATTGAGTTTTGGGTCGACATTCTTCAGCAACTGCAACACATTCTCTAGCGACCTCAAGATCGAACGAGTAATCTTCTCTAACCTGTCACCTTCAGGGTCCCGAAACCACCTTGTCAGATCTTCAAATTACCATTCACATTCACATTCGCCACCATGGGTTCTCAGGTTGACGACAGAGATTTCACGACTTTGCTGTCTGAGCTCACGCTTGAGGAGAAGATCACTCTCCTCTCTGGCCGTGACTTTTCCACGGCAGCAGGCGTCGCTCGCTTGAACATTCCTCCCATCAGAGTGAGCTTGTCCCAAGACCCTATGGCGCAAACCGGGCGCAGAAACGAAGAAGCGAGCTGACATTCCCACCCATAGGTAGCAGATTCAATCGCCGGCGTGCGCCCCTCAGGGATCACAGCCGACCTCACGACAGCGTGCTTCCCCAACACAGCCTGCCTTGGATCGACATGGGACGCCGAGCTCCTCGGCCGCCTGGGCGAGCGCCTCGCTCACCAGGGCCGTGAGAAGAGCGCTCAGGTCGTCCTGGGCCCGACGATCAACATCCACCGAGACCCCCGCGCGGGACGCAACTTTGAGTGCTTCAGCGAGGACCCGTTGCTGTCTGGACAGTTGGCGGGTGCCATCGTCAACGGTATTCAGAGCCAGGGTCTCGGGGCCTGCCCCAAGCACTTTGTTTGCAACGATTCGGAGACGCTGAGACACTTTTACGATGTTGACGCGTCGCCCGATAGCCGACCGCTGAGGGAGATTTACATTGCTGCTTGGCAGCACTTGTTGCGGACTTCAAACCCTACTGGTGTCATGACTGCGTAAGGCTCTTTCTGCTCCTTCTGCGGATATATATCTGCGCTGTCTATGGAGCTTGAAAGTCTGTACTAACAACGATTTGACACAGGTACAACAAAGTCGACGGCACATTCTGCAGCGAACACGGTCCCCTCATCGAAGGCGTCTTGAGAAAGGAGTGGGGTTTCGAGGGTATTGTCATGTCCGACTGGTTCGCCGTACACAACGTGGTCGAGCCCGTCAAGGCCGGTCTCGACCTCGAGATGCCTTTCCCTGTATTCAGAGGCAAGAGACTCGCCGAGGCCGTACGATCGGGCCAAATAACCGAGGCGGAGATCGATGCCAGGGCGCTCAAGATGCTGGAGCTGCGAAACCGCACGCGGACCAGCTTCAGCGACGAGCCTGAAAGATCCGAGATTAACGAGGAGACGAACAAGATCTCCAGGGAGCTCGCGGCGAGTGGCATCATCCTGCTCAAAAACGATAACCAGGCCCTGCCCATCAACCCCGCAGACAAGCCCAAGGTTGCCCTCATTGGCGAGTTTGCTGGATCTCCCGTTGTGACTGGCGGTGGAAGCGCGTCTTGCACGCCCCAGTACCGCCACTCGCCGTTCAAGGTCTTGAAGGAGGCCTTCTCTGGGGAAGAGAGCGTTCGCTACCACGCCGGTGTTCGCACACGCAGAGTCATTCCCGTTGCTCCCACTGCGCAGCTCACAGCACAAGACGGACGCAACGGCGTCGACGTGAAGTACTACAACGACGACACCCCGGAGCCGATCCTCACCGAGTTCCAGGAGAAGGCCAACGTCTGGATGCTGGGCGAGTTCAAGGCCGGACTTAAGGTCCCTGGCTCTCGCTTCGAGCTTCTTACCAAGCTGACGCCCCAGACGACTGGCGAACACACTCTCGCGGTGCAGGCCACCGGAGATTTCTCCCTTGTCGTTGACGGCAAGGAGATTCTGTCTGGTCCTCAAAAGAAGATTGCCACGGAGCAGTTCATTTTCAACCACGTCAAGCTCGAGACGCGCGTGCAGCTGCAGATGAACGCTGGTCAGGCTTACGACGTCAAGCTCGTCAACAAGTCCTGGGATCACCTGGTCAAGGGCGAGCCCACTCCCTACGCGGCATCAATCGGCTTCGAGGAGCACCGCTCCGACGAGGCTGCCATTGCCGAGGCTGTGGAACTCGCCAAGGCCTCAGATGTGAGCATCATCTACGCCGGCCGCAACGAGCAATACGAGTCGGAAGGCTACGATCTGGAAGACATCCGCATTCCGGAAAACCAAGCGGCGTTGATCAAGGCCGTCGCTGCCGTATCAAAGAAGACCGTCCTGGTGCTGCACTGCGGCAACCCCATCGACATCAGCGCTGTCGTGGACGACGTTGACGCGGTGCTCAACGCCCACTTCCCCGGCCAGGAGGGCGCGCAGGCGACAGCGGATATCCTCACCGGCGCAACAAACCCCAGCGGACGCCTCGCGACGACGTGGTTCAAGTCGCTCGAGGATGCCCCCACCTATGGTGATTTCCCCGCTACCAAGCAGGAGGACGGCACCCACAAGTTCCGTTATGCTGAGGGAATGGGCATGGGATACCGTCACGCTGAGGCGGCGAAGCGCTCCCGCTTCCCCTTTGGGTACGGCCTTTCATACACCACCTTCAAGTACTCTGACCTCACGACGAGTGTGGCTGGGGCAGACAAGGACGCGAAGCTCAAGGTGTCTGTCAAGGTGACCAACTCGGGAAACCGCGCCGGAAAGGAGGTCGTACAGCTCTACGTTAACCCGGCAAAGGAGACGCCGGCCGCCGTCTGGCGACCGGAGCGCGAACTCAAGGCCTTCAAGAAGGTTCTCATACAATCTGGAGAATCGGCAGTGGTGGAGCTTGAGGTCGACGCCAAGATCGCGTGCAGCTACTGGGATGAGGCGGAGAAGGCTTGGAGGCTGGAACGGGGGACATATGGCGTCCGGGTCGGAGATCTCCAGGGTGAGTTCTCGATCAGCGAGGGAACGACCTGGGGTGGGCTGTAAAGAGTGAAGAAGAGTTCGGTTGGTGTGTGGCGTGTGACACGTAGGAGACGGACTTTGTTCTGGACCCTTGTCAAAGAGCCATTGATATTTGTAGTTTGCGTGCTGCGACATTGTATGTTAACCGGATACCAGTAATCTGTCATCAAATCTTCAAAGTGTCTAGCGCTAAATGTCTTTCATCTTCCCTTCCGGCAGGATATTGTCCCGAGGCGGACCAACGTAGACCACCAAAGCTCAAGTGAGACACTAGGTAGGTGGTGCTGCGTACGCGCCGTGCCGGCTCCCCTCGATCCTGATCGAAGTGATGATTCTCAACATTCTCACTCAGCCATCCCAACCTGATGTGATGGGATTGGAGCTTGAATACATGACCAGCGATACTGGTGATCAAGATATCAGTCAGCAGATCATCCAATTGATCAACGTTTACGGAGTACTCATCGGGAGATTTCGTCCACTAGCACTCACACACAAAAGTAAGCTCGGCCGACGTCTTGCGACCGGTACCCGAACAACTCGGTATCGGTCCCCCCATCACCGAGTAATGAACGACATCATCAATCACCGCAGAGTAAGGTATTTGATCCCATCTTCAGAGCTATGCGGCCATGAGAAACCCTACACCACACCACTTCATCGCCAGAGTCCACGCGCGCCAAGGGGTCAGTGCTTGCTTTGATATTTGCACTCAGTGAACGGGACAGGGCGAGAGATGATCCTCAAGACAAGACCATCCGGCCCGGATTCGGGACCTGTATGCTCGGAGCGGGCGCCAGATCTACCTGCTTTATGATAGCACAGCCCGCTCACGATCATGGAAGCTCTGGTCCGGTCTCGTTCACACATCATCACAGCGAAGAAATACGTTTTTGGCAAAGACGAACCTAATGAACCGCGGGCGACTCAGGCGAAATCCACACCTAAACATGACCTAATCTTAAAGCATCGACGCCCACCTCGAGAATCGACACCAGCAATGATCCTAGTTCCACAAGCTCCCACTAATTATCCGAGACCTCTTCGTCCCATTTCGGCTGATTATTCCAACTAATCATTAAACAGCTTAGCCTGTTTCCCTCCATCGTAGCCTGTGCGTTGACGCCCCATCCCACCGCTTTGGGGCCAGTGCCCGGTTTGATTCTTGAATCTTAGGCATGACGGGAGTTTAAATCTCCTTCAATCTGCGATCCAATTGCTATCAATTCTACCGCGCCAGGCAACCTCCTGCGGTAACACGGTAGATAAAGTAGGTACAATACTGGGAGGGGCAAGACGGAGGGGGATGGGTGGGGGGAGACAGACTTCAGATGATTCGCACGTCCTCGACCACAGAGAAGCTTGAATGTTGGCGGAGAGTTCGCGCCTGGTATATGCCCGTTAATCTTGTCCTGCAGTTGGTGGCATCACCTTGGAAGAGGCACGGATGTTTCCTGGCTTTGGCTGCAGGTGAGTGACTCTTGTCTTCCACTCTGCCCCTCCACCATAGACTTCCTATCCTAGAGACTCGCGTTCTTAAGCAAATCAAGCATTCCACGATTGGCAAATCTTATTCCATCCCATCATCTTGGATTTTCGGCTTTACACTATCGAAACGGAGTTTAGTTGCCTCTCACTTCATACCAACAGGAAAGCCCACCACCCTCATCGTCACTTTGGTTTCGTCTCGTCCCGCTCAAGCCTGTCTTAGTCCACCTTTTCTTGGTGTAACCGGTAAATTCGTACTAACTTGGAAGACGGATGGGGACGCCTTCTTTCTGTGGCGTATTACACTGCCCTTGCAGTTCTCTCAGGGCTGGATGGGACGCCTTCTCCGGGACCTGTTCGCTTTGACTTGAACTAACCCAAAGAGACTCCCAACATCGGATTAGCCTGACCATCTTGCGACTTTGATTGATATGCTGTGCCATCTGCCCCCTTTTCCCCTACTGTTCCTGGGTTTCATTCATTCACCCAAACACCAGAGACAGAAACGAGTCCCACAATAGTTCACGGCCAGGACCCACGATCATAACGCAGCCCTACGGGACTACGGGACTACAGGAACTGGATCGCAACGCGAATATCAGTCCGGCTCGCTAGCGGCCACCCCTGTCGGACGAGCGTGGCGGACCCGCGCGGCGATGATTGCACGGCCCCACGGCGACGGCCACGGCTCGGTCGCATCACGAAGTAGACATGGATATGGAAGTGGAATCGGACATCATTGAGGACGGAGGCGCGCCGGGGTTCGCTCCCCATGGGAAGGCCGTCATAGCTTGCGCGACCATTTCGGTCGGACTCGCTGGTCTCATCGTCGGCCTGCGGTTTTTCGCACGATTATACCCCGCGCGGCTGCTAGGAAAGGAGGACTGGTGCATATTCATCGCATGGGTATGTCAAGTCTCGAGATCACGGCCCGACGTCGAGGTGAAGGGCAGGTGCCAAGGCAACAAAGATACCAGGCATCTGGGGTCCCTAGGCATCGATAACTTGAACTGGGCTAATACCCTGGTTAAACAGCTTTTCTCAGCGGCGACTTCTATTGGCATGTGCCTTCGTAAGTCAATACTCACTCTCCAACAGCATGGTAATGGTATGACTGACATAAGCAGAGGTCAAGACGGGCATGGCCGAGGAGTTCTCGACTCTCAGCGTTTATCAGCAACAAACCTTTTTCAAGGTATGATAACTCTAAAATCAGTTTGCACGCAAGAATCCAGCTAATCACCCCGAAACATAGTGGGCATACCTCACTATAATATTCTACAACACTGGCCTCGCCTGCGTCAAAGTCTCGATCCTCCTTCTCTACCTGAGAATCCTTAGAGACCTCAATTACCGTAAGGCATGCTACGTGGTCCTATTTTTCGTGGTCTGCGTGTCGCTATGGACGGTCTTATCCTCGATATTCTTCTGCGTGCCCATTACCAAGAACTGGGACCGTGCCGTCACTGGCGTCTGCTTCAGCCAGGGCATTGCCTGGTTCGTCAATGCCGCTCTGAATATCCTTACCGACTTTGCGATTCTTATCCTGCCATTACCGATTCTGCCCAAGATCAAGCAGTCTCGCCGGCAGAAGATTGGGCTATATCTCATCTTTGCGCTCGGCTTTTTGTAAGTGGTTCCGAGTACTCGTGCGGTCAACGTATCCATCTGACCAACATCCATCTCAGCATCTGCGTGGTCTCCATCCTCCGTATACCATCCCTCATCGTCGCGAAATACTCTCGCGACCCAACATTAGACAGCCCAGGCATAGCAAAATGGTCCGTCGTAGAATTAAACACAGCCATCGTCTGCGCTAGCCTCATCACTCTCAAACCACTCGCCATGCGCTTCTTCCCCCGCATGCTGGGCTCCAACCGCGGCGACGTCGGCCGACAGCGTGGCCCCGGATCCGAAGAGATACCCGCGACCGTAGGTTCTAAGGAAGCGCGAAACGGGGGCGTGAAGCATGGCCACGCGCGGCCAGTGTCTGACGGCAGTACCATTCAGCTAAACCACGATACCTTTGGAGGGGATTCGGCGATGCATACGCAGCATACGGAAAGCTCACGACTTAGTTCTGCGGGGACGTCGGATCTGGAGCAGGGGATGAAGGCGTCGGCTGTCGAACTCGAAGGAGATTTGGCGATACGAACGGATAAAGCATGATTGAACATACCATTGTAACCAGATACCACTTTATTTAACGCTTTTGTATTTTAAGAAACGGTAATAACCATATTTGTCCGGCGCTAGCTGGCCGTGGAGAAGTTCGCGATGATCTTCTCGTACCTGTGCGTGTTGGCCGTTGGAGATTGCAATTGAGTGCCGTGATGTTTCTTGGCTTGCAGGGATCCGCGTCCGTTGATCGCGGAATCAGCAAGTCTGCCATCCCTCCTCGGACAAGCCCCTCAACTGCCCGCACCTTATTCGTACTACATCGAGACGGATTGGTCCGCTTAACATCGTGAGAGAATGCCATTCTGGACAAGATGGTGTTTAGTCAACACCAGAGCGATGACATAGGCTAAGACTTTCACCATCCGGCATTCCGCGTTAAGGTCAGAAGCTGCCCCTGGTCACGACCATGATTTAACGTTAAAAGCTCGTATTCACTCATCTCGCTATCCCGCTAGACCCGAAATTCCAGCAACATCCCCTGCTTCTCGATATTGCTTGCCTTAAAAAAACACCGAATCGCCCTATGGGTGCGTCGTTCAATGTCACCTCAGTGGATCACTCCCGCTGCAATGTGACAAGAATCACCACGGGATTAAAGATGCGCGACGGGCCTTATTGGGCAGGTGGGATGAACGACATGCCGTGCTCCTTGGCAAATAAGGTCTATGGATACTTCAGAGAGATGCGAAAGGACTTAATCATTCCACGATGGCCGTCCCAAGGTAGTCGTGGGCTCTCTGTTGTAGCATCTGCACGACTTTTACACTCGTTTCTGGATCGTGTTTCCCATCGCAGCCATGCGCGCAGCAGGGACAGCCATCGCAGCTTTGCTCTTCGGGGCCGCAGACGCTCTTCATCAATTCACACCCCGGTCTCTCAATGACACCACCAGTCCCAGCGATCCTGCGCCGAAGCGGTACATCGTCGAGTACAAGTCGCGCGCCCACGGTTCTCGCGTCGCCGCGAAAGTTGCTGCTGGATTTCCGGGTCTCCGTGTCGTGAAGCAGTTCGACTCGGACATTTTCCCTGCCGTCACAGTCGAGTGCGATGGAGGATGCAGCCCCGAGTCCGTGAGAAGTGCGCTTGACGACGGCGACGAGCCTGTTGTTGCAACGGTCTACAAGTCTCAGGTCATGCAAATTCTTCCGACCGTCGAGGGCGAATCGTACAGCGACGATGCGGCGGCGCTGAATTACTCCGTCCACGGACTCACTGGAGTTGAGAAGCTTCACGAGGATGGGGTCTTGGGCGAAGGGGCTATTGTTGCTATTGTCGACAGTGGTGTTCAGTACACCCATCCTGCAGTAAGTACTTCGACTCTAACCAGACTTGGTTGCAGATGATTAATTGAATGTAGTTGGGAGGAGGCATTGGTCCCAACTTTACCGTTGCTGGAGGCTACGACCTTGTAGGCGATGCTTGGCCTGATGCGCCAGCTCAGCCGGATGACGACCCCATGGATAGATATGGCCACGGAACTCATGTTGCTGGTATCATTGCGGGGAAAAGCGACCAGTAAGCAGCTCCAAGTTCCTACTTGCTCAAGAAGCACAACTAACTCTGATCAGGTTCGTTGGCGTAGCTCCCAGAGCCAAGTTGTTGTCATTCAAGGTATTTGGCAGCAGTGGCTACTCAAACGAGGAGACAGTTATCGAAGGTTTCCTCAAGGCGTACGACTCTGGTGTAAGATGATGGGACATACCTTTTACAATGGGAGATCGACTAACACTGCGCCTAGGCCGATATCATCAGTGCCAGTGTTGGAGAAACCAGCGGTTTCACAACCAATGCTCTCGCTGTCGTCGCGTCCAGAATTGTCGACAACGGCGTCGTTGTCGTCTTTGCTGCTGGTAACTCTGGACAGGATGGCCCCTTCGACATGGCAAACGGTGCATCTGGCGAGCACGTCTTGACCGTGGCATCTTCTGACCCGGGAGTGTTCCCTGCCCAAGCCTTCTCCGCAAAGTTCAACTTGAATGGCAACTCCAACAAGACCGAGATCGCCTACATCCCCGGATCAGGCTTCTTCCCGGACACCATCGTCGAGTGGCCCATCAAACCCATAAGTCTCAACTCTTCAATCACTAATGACGCATGCCTGCCTCTCCCAGCGAACACAACCTCACTCAACAATACTGTAGTTCTCGTCAGAACCGGCGGCTGCACCAACACCGTCAAGCACACTAACGTCGCGGCCTTCGGTGCCCGCTACGTTCTCTTCTACAATGACGCCGGCCCATACAAGAACGCCGTAAGCTCTAACCTTACAGGTCTCACCGGAGCCATCGAAGCAAACGCTGGTGAGGCCATCATTGCCGCTATCCTTGACGGCGGCAACGTGACCGCCTCCTTCGACATCGCCACGGCCCACTACGTTGGTCTCCGTAACGCAGGAGGTGGGCGGCCATCCTTGTTCTCCTCGTGGGGTAGCACCTACGACCTCGCCCTCAAGCCCGACGTCGCCGGCCCGGGCACAAAGATCCTCAGCACCTACCCTACGAACGAATACCGCGTGTTGAGCGGCACGAGCATGGCGACTCCCTATATCAGCGGTGTTGCCGCGTTGTGGGTGGGCAAGTTCGGCGGTCGGGCCGCGCACAAGGATGATCCGGAATGGGCGCGCCGCCTTATCGCGCGCATTACGTCGACTGCGCACGCCGTACCGTGGGCTGACTGGGCGACCACCTCGACTGACTATGGTTTCTGGGCGCCAACGACACAAGTCGGTGGAGGATTTGTTGATGCGCAAAAGGTTCTTGGGTACACTACCGAGCTCAGCTTCGACGGCCGCAAATTCGAGCTCAATGATACAGCCCACTTCAAGGGCACGCACACGGTGAAGATCACGAATCGTGGCACAGAGACTGTTACGTACAAGTTCTCGGTGCAGGATGCTGGTGGATACACGGCATACACCCCCTCTGTACCAGGGCAAACTCAGTTTGCGGTTCCTGGGATTCCTCTTTACGCGGACCTTGATCCTTTCAAGCTTACACCCGAGGTTTCTCTGCCCCAGGAGATTACTATCGCAGCTGGAGAGACCAAGTCAACAGAGTATGATCTCATCCTCACAATATGCCACCATGAGACGACAGCTGACGAGGAATAATAGGTTCACATTTAGCGTCCCTGAGGGGGCAGATGCCAAGAAGTTGCCAGTGTACAGTGGCAAGATTCTTGTCAGCGGTAGTAACGGAGAGGAACTTGGTATTCCTTACTTCGGTCAGTTTATTTCTCAACAGGTGCCTGATCTTCTTAAACTAATGAAACTGTAGGCGTTGCCTCCGACTTGAAGGAGACGATTGAAAACGTCTGGGACTACGGATGGAACAATCCTTATCTCACCTCTGGCGTGAATGCAATCAAGCTCGAACAAAAGTCAAAGTAAGTTGCCAAACAGCAACGGACGTCTACATCTGGTACGGGAGCTGACATACATCTGCTAGCTTCACCTTCAACCTCACCCGAGAAGCACAAGACTTCCCTAAATTATTCACTCAATTTGTTTGGGGAACCAAGGAGTTCCGCTGGGACGTAAGTCAAGATCATGTCCGGAGCTAGTATGGGAATGTCGAGCTGATGACTTGCACAGATTTTCTCAGGTAATTACAGCGAAGCCCAATGGTCATACCCTCCTGTTGTTGGTCAGAAGGGTTTCGTCGGCTCAGCAACCGCTTGGAACGGAACTGCCAACTCAGCTTGGTTTATTCCAGGTGAAGATAACGAGGACGACATTTTCTCCCTTCCTCTCTACTCGCAACCTCGTGCAAGGGGAGGCATTTACTACTGGCTCGGGCGATTCGCCGACGGTTCGCACATCCAGCCTGGATCATACAAGTAAGAGCCTATTCTTAGTCGATGGCATACCTATTCCTTTGTTATCACATAATCCTAATTCTTGTCATACAGGTTCCGTATTGCTGCCTTGAGGCCCTTTGGAGAGCCCGAGGTTGCAGAAGACTGGGACGTTTGGCAGACGCCCGCCATTACTGTGCTGCCTCTTTAGGCCACATGTGCCTCTGCCGAACATCTAGAGCTTCATGCTCTAACAGTGATTGCGATTGTACGGGTTCTGGGAGCTTTAACATCAAAGAAATCGATTCTATAAACTTCAAACCTAATATCATCAAACGAAATTCCTTCAACTCTGCTGCCGAGGAAGGATCTGCTCCCCGACCATCAGCATCGATTACATTAACCTTGAGTCTCCATGCTGATTTGCCGCTTCTTTTAGACGTGACGTGCGATGATGAAGTTGTGCTTCAAAAGTCTTCGAGTTTATGCACCTCATATGGCGGCACCTCGTATGGGTGCGTCCTGCAGCCTTTGTCAGCATCTAGTGCGCCCTTGAATCGCCCGTGGCTGGGCTCAAGTACCTTTTCAAGGCAGAAACTGCCTCTCTCGTAACATCGCGCCCGACGCAAAGGATCTCGACCTTGTATTCAGGCACCTGCGCGAGTTGATCGATGTTACCGGTGTGAGGGGTAGCTCCCGCAGCAGAGACAGGTATGAACTGGCATGTGCCTGGGCTCTCGAAAGCGACATGAATGTATTTGCCGTTATCGTAGGTACCGCCACCAGCTTCAAAGATGGCTGCTTTAGTGGCATCTAAATGAGAACCTGAGCATACGTGGCGATGTCAGCAACAGCCATATTCTTGACGTATTTTAGGCCTTAAGGCTCTACTCACGTGGCACGGAGTATGCAAGCTTGTAGCGATCCGCCATTATTGAGAAAATTTCGTATATCGGTATACTGGCGGGTGGAAAGCGTGGTAACTTTTCAAGCTGGAGATGGAATTGGAACGATGATGGAGCTGGGTATCAAGATGATATTCGTGACAAATCCTCCCTTTTCTGTTGAGAACTGACTAATTTTCGGTCGTAACTATCTTGTGTGAAATTTTCATTATCCGGGAGCTACCGGAACATCCTTATCTCAACAAATTTGTTGAAAATCCTGAAGCATGTCCCCGAACCCCTATGGGAAAGTGAAGCCATATTCTGACCCCTATGGGAAAGTTCAGGCGATGTAGTTGACGGATAGCGGGGCATAGCTGTGTGGGGTAGTTTTCAACCTGCGTGCTATGCCGAATTAGTTGATGACGCCCCAGTAAGAGGATGCTTGACTCGGCTGTGCCGACCTCGGCGGCGCTGAAGACTACATAAAGCGCTCCTTTCATTGGATCAAATGCTGCTCTAAGTGGGACAATTGCCGGAAACACAGTTACCCTTATCTACTGGCTCCTTGCGAGTGGAAGCTGGGTGCTCGAGACAAGAACCTTCTGAGCGTGTACTTCTGAGCGTGTGGCGGGCTTATCTGTAGTGGTGGGCCTCCATTCATTGGAAAATGCTACTGAAATGGCTCTGCACTCGCGGACCATCGAAGGTACTTAAGTACGAGGTAGTATGCTCACCTCAGTCTTGAAACGGATCTCGTAAGTCACCTATAATTGATTTCCTCTCCTCGGCTCGTTTCTCTTATACGCAACACACACTCCTTGACAATAGATCATTAACTCTTGCTTCTAGCCTCTTGCAGCAACTCCGAAGAGAAGGCCACCCGGAGACAAAATAGCAAGAGGCAGAATGGAAACGTTGCCGCATAACCTCCCATGCCCGTCCGGCGCCTCAGTCAAGGTGTCCGTCCTCAACAACTGTTTCCTTCGCGGAGTGCCTACAGCGCCTTATGTTGAGCCTATCATACCTGGGCATGGAACATTCAACGACCTTCCATGTCTCGTCTTCCTGATCGAGAGCTCTACCGGCAGGAAAGTCCTCTTCGACCTCGGTCTACGAACGGACTGGCACAAACTCAGCCCGGTTTCGCTATCAGAGATCCAGAACGACGAGATTGAAATCAAACTGAAAGAGGACATCGTTGATATTCTGAAACGCGAGAGAATCGCTCCAGGCGACATAGAGGCTGTGGTATTGAGGTGTGTATCCCTAATAACTTCCCATGTGCCTGATTCGGTACTTCTTTCTGTTCCCGCCAAGGACATCCTAATATGGGCTGAATATAGTCACCATCATTGGGATCATGTCGGAGATCTCAGTTTGTTTCCCGATACTACACGAGTTGTCGTTGGCCCGGGGTTCGTAGATGCTTTCCGTTCAGGTTATCCCGACGATGATCTGGCGCCACTGCTAGCCAGCGACCTGAGGTGAGTTGATGTATAACATGTCCAAAAGGTACTTAAAACGTATCGAGAGCTGAGAATGGTCAATATAGTGGGAAATCAGTGGACGAGGTCAACTTTGAAAAGGCCAGCTGTGTCCCTCTTGGTCCGTTCACAGCTTTCGATTACTTCGGTGACGGCTCGTTCTACATCGTTGATGCTCCTGGACACAGCATCGGCCATGTTGGAGCGCTAGCCCGGACAACAAGCAACCCGGACACATTCGTCTTCATGGGTGCCGACTCGTGCCATCACTGTGGAGAGTTCCGACCTTCTGCACGTCGCAAAACCCCGAGCGACTTTCGTCTTGGCTCGCCGACTTCAGGGCCATCTTCCCCTTGTCGTGGGCTGACGTCTGATGATCACAAAGGTCCTCAGGGCGGGCTTTGTGGAGCTCCATTCTATACAATTACGCGTGACCCTCGATATGCCGAGTATACTCATGACCACGGAGCTGCGGATGCAACGATTGCCATGGTGCAAGAGATGGACGGGTACGACAATGTGTTTGTTACCATGGCACACGATGATTCTATCCCCGAGATAGTCGACATGTTTCCAAAGACAATCAACGAATGGAAGTCAAAGAAGTGGCATGAGAAGGGTCGATGGGCGTTCTTGAAGGACTTCAAAGGCTTGGCTGACGCGACGCTAGGAAGTTAGGCTAGCACAGATCGTCTGGATTTTCCTCAAGGGAAGGGCACAAGTCAACCTAAGCAGAGTCTTATGTATCGTCAGTCGGCGAGAATGGCTTGATTATGATACAGAAACCGCGTTGAATGCGCAATGTAGTCGATGAAGGTAGCCGTATTACCATCCCTTTTGAAATCATCCCCTACAACTCTTTCCAATCACTGTGCCTCACACATCTTGTGGTACATACCCTTAGCTGCGATTATCTCCTAGTGTGTTCCCATCTCCTAAAGAGCGCCCCTGTGGAACACGTAGCTCAAATCGGCGACCTTAAAAGTACTAAGACGATTAGCCATAGAAGTCGTGGTCCTATCAATCTGCTTTACAGCATGAGCCAGCCGAGCGTGGGCCTCTCTATATCAAGAGCACCAGTCGCTTAGTCGAGAAGCAGAAATCTGGTGTCGCTAATCAGAGGCGCGTGCGGTTGCAATTTATTGATTGGCCGCCAGAGAGCTGTGCACCTTGGATCCATCAGGCGTTTCGAGTCCCCACGGGAGGGAGCAGACAAAGTCCCTTCCCTGACCCATTCAGACTGATAAGTGTTGAGCCTATGATGAGTGGTTGGAAAGCAAAATCGATGAAGTAAGTTTACCGGCGGGAAAGTCGGCAATCAGTTGAAGAGAAGTCGACTAAAACGAGCGTGTTGATACTTGCATCATATCGAAATATGACGGGGAGAAGGAAATGACAATTTTGATGACGCCAACAGTGCAACATGACAACAAGATTCGGTTTCTTAACAGCAAACAGTCGTGCCCCTGAAAGGTGGCCCCCGGGCTGCGAAATGCCTAGATTCCCGGGGAAGAGTCATCGCCGACAGAGTTTTCACCGATAACGGATACCAAACGACCAGATGTCCACGCGGCTTCAAAATTGGTACGAACATGGATTGCTAGTGGCAGCTTACCTTAACTACGGAGTACTTGTGGATTAAGTTTAATCTCCCCGGAGTAAGATGTTTCTCTTCGGAATGCAGCATCTCGGACGCCGGAATCTGCGGAGCCCCGAGGCATCGCGGCCGGCATGTGGCCGGGTGTTCGTCCCGAAATTTGAAGGCAGTCCGTGCCCCTGAGTCCAGAAGCTTTAACTCTTTACTCGCCATATCGGGTCCGGCCAAGAACCCCCTTTCCACACGGCCCCATTCAATAAGCTTACACCACATGGAGTGAATAGATCGGTGGCAGAAAACGCGTCGTAGGCCCCAAAGATCTGGCGACCAGAATTGCCAAGACCTAATTTCGAAATTGGCCGGATGAGTCATTAGTTGGTTTTAGGGAACATGGTGACGATGTTGCGGTAAGGATTCCACAAAGCCCATCATCAGTTGACAGGCCCGATTGTTTGAGCGGAGCTCCAGGCCATGATCCGGGGCCCGGGCATCGTGGGATCCCGGAACAGGCACTTCTTGAGCTCAACAATTGTTGGATCTAATAAGTTGAGCGATGCCTGAGTATGAAATGTTCATAAGTCGGGATCCTTTCCCAAGATTCAGATGAATAGAACACAAGCGATTCGACACCTTCGTTCAGCACCCGCCAATACCTCTTTCTCCAGTCAAGATGATGGTCACCCAAGAACAAATCACGAGCTTCATTCTAGCGCTAGGCCTAACCCAAGACAAGGCCTCGCAGATACATCAGCGCAGTGTGACCGGTTGTAACTACACTGAAGAGGTCTTGAGCAGCCTGTATCCTCAGAATGTCTTTTTACCCGAGAGTCCTGAATACTCTACTTGGATCAACAAATACTTCTAAGCCCTCTTGACGCACCCAGCTTCCCTTTACAATTCTAAGTTCCAAAGCGGCTCGCGGCCTCGCCTGAACGCCTCTGCAGTTTTCACCCCAGAGAACACGGAACAAGTTGCCTCTGGTGTCAAGATCTTCGAGTTCTTCCAGAGACAGTTCGCCATCCGAGGCTTGGGCTTTACATCCAACCCTGGAGCGGCCGGTATTGAAGATGGTGTGCTTCTTGCCCTGGAGAAGATGAACAACATCTCACTTACTCCGTCCAAGGATGTCGCTAGTCTTGGCCCAGGTAATAACTGGGGCCGAGTGTATAGCACGCTCGAAAGCCAGGGGGTCACAGTCTCTGGAGGCGAGCTTGCAGTTGTTGGCATCTCTGGCCTCTTGACTGGTAGTAAGTCAAGTTCCAAACCTCGAAAACGAGCACGATCTCCTACTGGTGAAAAATGATGCATCCTGACAGCGCTATCTAGATGGCTTTGGTAGTTTCCTCGGAAGCCGCGGATTTTCCAGCGCTGATATTGCCAACTTTGAAGTCGTTCTCAGCGGCGGGAAGGTCGTCACTGCTAACGCGAGTGAAAACTCCGATCTCTGGTGGGCTCTCAAAGGCGGCTCCAACAACTTCGGCATTGTTACTCGTTTTGATATGAACACCTTCCCCATTCCGAACGGAATCTTCTCTGGCACCATCTCGTACGACCTGAGCCAAGCCAACGCTGCCCTCGATGCGTTCTATGAGATCCAAAATGGAGCGCTGCTCGACGACCCACAGCTCGTGGTCACCTGCATGGAGATGATCATCCCCGCAATCAACCTCACTACCATTGACCTCACCTCTTTCACCGGCAAGGTCAACTTCACAGGTTCTTATCCCACGGCGCTTCAGCCTCTGATTGATGTCGGTCCCATTGCAACAAACTTTTCTCGCAACACCCTCACCGTCGAGGCATCCAAGGCTGTGACACCCGAGTTCTCGGCTGTTTATACCCAACGGTTAGTAGTAGATCTGATCTCTGTGTTAGAAAGATGTTGACGTGTACACCTTTTTGCAGTATTGCTCGCGGGAATATCAACATCAAAGCGGACCAGGAGCTCTACAATGAGATCTCTGAACTGTTCTTCTCCCACTACGCATCTTCGACTCTTGCTGACCACACCATCGGCCTTTCCTGGAACCCCGTCACTCCCTACGCCGTACAAGAGTCCAACAGAAAGGGCGGCAACGCAGGTGGCTGGTTGGAGGTCAACCAGAACTGTAAGTGCAACCACACTTTTGACATTGGCGGACCTTGTCCATTACACAAACAGTGAACTGATCAACCATTTGCAGCGCTCAACTTGAGAACGAGCTGGGGCAATGCCGACAACGACGCGGCAGCCCTTCAGATGGACGCTGACTTCTTGGCCAAGGCCACAGAGCTGGCTCGTAAGCGCGATGCTCGGATGCCGAATCAGTGGATGAACAACGCTGCGGAGACCGCCGATGTCATCAGCACTTACGGAGAGGGGAACGTCAAGAGGATGAAGTCTATCTCACAGAAGTACGGCAAGGAGGGAACCTTTCAACATCTTGTCCCTGGCGGTTATAAGCTGGGCGCCTAGATCATACCTGAATCCTGCCTTGTAGTCGATATGTAACAGAACAGTGCATTCAGTCTACTTCACTGATGAGAAGTCGCCAGCAGTGGACCTGCTTCTCTGGCTTAGCTTAAAATCGGCCGGAAGTTAAATAACGGGGGCTTGGTATCTCATGCCATGAGTTTTGCTATCCGGGCAGTACTGTTTGGCTATCCGGGCAGTAACCCACTTTTTGGACCAATAAGAGCTCCAAGCTACAGAGCTCGGGCCATGGCCCCATACCCGTACCCGCTGCACTTGCCCACGGGCCACCCGGCGCAGTTACGTAAGGCAACCGCAGGCACGTTCGGTCGCAATTACGTAAGGCAGCCGCAATTGCCCACGGTCGCAATTACCCACGGTCGCAATTACCCACGGTTATATATACCTATAGAAATAGATAATTAAGTAGGTAATTGAGCAGGCAATTGCTACTGTAGGTAATTGCGACCGTAGGCAATTGCGACCGTGGGCAATTGCGGCCGTGGGCAATTGCGACCGTAGGTAATTACGACCGTGGGCAATTGCGGCTACCTTACGTAATTGCGGCGTATATGCGCTAGGTGGCCCGTGGGCAGGTGCAGCGGGGCAAAAAAGTTTAGAGTTTAGACGGCAGGCTCTTATTGGTCTAAAAAGTGGATTACTGCCCGGATAGCCAAACAGTACTGCCCGGATAGCAAAACTCCATGCCATATGCTTAGCTAACTACAGTAATCAACATTATAGACCTCTTAATCTATTTTGAAATCGTAACAAAAAACGGTTGATACGCCTAGCTCTGCCATCGACTCTTGTTATCGTGCAGATTCTTTCTTGCATCATCAGCACCTTGATATTTGGGACAGCCGCGGGATCCACGATCGACAGTATCAGGAAGAGAGACTTTTAGATCGTACAAGGCTCCTTCGTCTCCATCTCGACGACCGCCTCCAACCTGGACGTAGCAGTCAGCTTGGGTCCCACTTCGAAAAACTCTAGAGACATCGCATAGGCTCGAGTACTGACTGCATGAAAGGTCTTTACTTCGAATCCCAAAAGCACAGCGGTCCCTGCCGCCTAGAGTGTCGAGAACGCGCTGGCGTAGGCCCGTGTTGTCGTCGACCCAACACAGCCAATATCCATATCCGACGACATCAAGCTCCGGTACTCTGCCGAAATCGTCGTCAAAAGGGTCAAGATTTAGGTCGTGTCCATGATGCTGCAAGGGTAGTCTCTCGACCAGCTCGGCGTGACACTCAGGCTTGTGCACAACCTCAACAACCAGAAGAACATAGGCCTCGCCGGATCCATCATCATGGAAATCGCCTGGCTTAGTGGCCCAGCTATGACGCCAAAGGGCCCCTTCCTAGGTATTTAAAGAGACCGAATCGCACGGTACCCGGTCTACAATGCCATTTCTTCCAAACGTTACTCTTTCCCTTTCACATATGGAGTCGTTTTGCTTGGTGACGGATATTATCACGCCCTCTTTACTAAAGCTAATGTTGTGTATTGGTTGAAAAAACTATGGAAAACCCTTGATAACGATCCTGATGCCTCTGTCTAAAGCTATTCTATGTGGAAAGACCTTAGGACGTCAGGAGGGAGGATTTCTGTCACAATCCTGCGCAAAGCGTTCCTCTTGTCGTCTCGAGAATCCTTGAAATCCTGCCCAAAGACAATATACGGTTGCACAAAAGCACCTCGGTCCGACCGGTATTCAGAGTTCTTCTGACTAAGACGGTTGAAAATAATTTTCATCCCTTTCACCCTCTTGGCCATATCCCAAGCCTTATGCATCTCGTCGTCTTCTGTGACCTCCTCCAACTCTTGGTGTGCTTTCACGCAGTAGAGCACAATAGCAGCAAGACCAGAAGCATAGGCTGTGGCGTATGAGCTACCCTGGACAATCTCCCCAGTAGGGCTGAATAGGCTCTCACCAGGGAGAAGGAAATCGGGGTTGGAATGTATATTTTCAGCCGAACTTTGCCCGTGGAGGGTGGCGGCGCCGATCTTGAGGACGCCGTCCATCCCTATGGGAAGGAATTCTGATGTCTGTGCCCCTGGGCCCTTGTCTGGAAGGGAGCCGAAGAGAATCACCTTTCCGCTGGCAATGGCTTGCTTGGCAAGCTTAACAAACGCCTCTTCAGCTTCATCGTTGGTTATACCTTTTCTCTCGAACGTCCAGCTCATAGAGACGATGTCCACCTCCATGTCCAAAGCCCATTGTAATGCCTACTTGGTCTTAGCAATTCCTCAGCCCTCACATAGCTTTGATGCAGGTGGGCTCTTACTTGGTGGCAGGAGGTGATCGTGAACTTCTGGTTCTCCACATGTCTTGAATCGTCCAGGCGGGCGATGTACAGCTCAGCCATTGGACAGACCTCCCGTATGCAGCGTGCCATGGCCGTACCATGCTCACATGGCCCAACAAAGAATTCCTCCTTGTCTGCGCGGAACGATCGACCATTTTGTTGGCCATGAAGGTCAGTCAACTTGGCACCGTCGTCTAGGAGTGCAACTTTGATAGAGGGCTTGTTACTGAGTTCAAGATTATGCATGAACTGCTTGAAGTTTAAGAGATACCCTATCCATGCGTTTGTGTCGGGCCTGTGCTGATACTTAATATCCAAGAGGTACTGAAGACCATCAATCGAGAGACTTACGTGCTTTGTTCGTGCCGTGACTGGCCTTTGTTCCTGACACTCATCCCTTCGTTGCCAGCTTCATTTGCTCCAAGGTCCCTCCGGTAACCGTGATTCTTCACCGAAATGTTCTCAATCTTGAGTCGTGCACAGTTTTGTGCGAGGGTTTCCTTAAAGTTTGGCTCGTATACCCTACAATCTTCTTCATCGTTCACGTTCTTGGTACATGTCAGCAGCAATTCGCTTGCGGGGACAGCATCTTGGTGTCATGGGAATGACTGACCTCTGGAAATATCTCAATGTTCAACTTTTCAAGCTGTCTAACTGTTAGTGTAAAGCTTCCCAGATCCACGCAGCACTACTTGCCTGTTGTAACTTGGCTAACCCTGGGCTACTGGCCCAGCCCCGTAGAACAGCTGTATTCCCGCGGGAATAGAAATAGATATGTTGGGCCTTCGGAGCCGCCGTGGCCACAGTCTCAGCGCAGATGTCGAACTTCTTCCATTTCCAAACTTCGACCTCGAAATCTCGCGTCGGGTTGGTACTGTCATTCTCGCCTCTGAAGGCTTTACGAATAGACGCATTGGTGTGTGGCTCCGGACCGTCGTCATCGACGTCGATCGTGAAAATTTTGCGTACGTTGCAACCCCATAGCCAATCAAACATGGCCCCGTAGGGATCGAGGGTTGGCAATTCAGGCTCGCCAACATCTTTCCCTTCGCTAGGACTGTGATTCTGATGTTGCCCATATCGCGCATTCGCGGAGCTCAGTCGTGAATTCCGGTCTTGTGGCTTCCAGTAAGGCAACTTGACAAAATCTAACACAGTTTCGAGACGCAGGCCGGACTGATTTTTTATTGTATTAATGTAGGCCTTGTCGAGCATGACGGACTCCCCTGTTAGGTTGAGGTAGAATCGCTGCTCTACCCGCGAGTTAGGGTCGCCCTCCAGAATCTTTTGCAAGGCCAAGAGCAGCTCTCTCAGAGTTGTGGCTGACGTACCTAATTTTGCATCCCAGTAGAGGAAGTCCATCTTCTTCGCCCAGGAATCATTTCTCTCACCCCCTAAGACCGATCTTGCATCTCCTAAACCTTCTGGAAAGCCAATGCAGCTTCTCTTCAGCAACTCTTCGGCCAGCGCTCGCGAACTGGCATTCTTCGTAGACTTCGCCTCATCCAAGGACTTTAACAATTTATACGCATTCTTTTCGCCCTTATGCTTCAAAAAGATGGAAGCCGGGCATCGGTCGATCAAAGCCTGAATGACAAAGAAGAGAAGATCATAGTCGATGTCTTCGGTGCCGTAGAGCTTGACAGCCATTTGCAGAGGAGTGTACCCGTTGCTCGGTTGGTTGCTGAACAAATCATCAGGGCAGAGTTGAAGAAGGGTCTTGAATCCGGGCAACGGGACGACTTGGTCGCTTTTCTTCTGACCCTTGTCGAATTTGGTGTCCACTAGGAGCGACTGGAGACATAACTGAGCCTGCTCGTGAGGCTTCAGAGCAGCTACAAGCTTCTTTCTCAGTTGATGGTCTTTTTCCAAGAGCCTTTTCACGTCGACCTGGCCGTGAAGACATTCGGTTCTCTCTGCAATGCCACTGATTTCCGTTCTTGTAGAATCAAGACCTTGCTCAGGATCAGCAGTCTGTATGGTGTCAGTCTTACTGGCCTTACTGGCCTTTCCTGGATTGATGCTGCACTGTTTTCGGCGTGCCAGGACCACCTTTTGTAAGGGGCAGTTGGATTTCTCGTCCTGGCACTCGGTCTTGATAGCATCGCGAATCTCGCTCGGTATTAGGAGGTTGATTATCCGAAACAGGATGGCTACCTGGGAATTGGCGGCTTCAAGCATTGGGACCTTTTGGTCTGAGTCTTTAGCGACGAATAGGTCGGGAGAATCGACTACCAAGGACTCGATGAAAGTTAGGGCGTGCGGTGGAAGGTCTTTCTGTTTCCTAGACAGTTCTCTGATTGTTCGATGGATAAGGTTCCGCTCTTCGTTATCCTTCTGGGAATGAAATTCGCCATATTTTGGGTGGTCGGCATCTGCCGGATATTGAATCCATTTCTTGACAATCCTGCCATGGTATTGGCCGACACGCGCACCTTCTTCGTCACTCGATTCTTGATCCGAGTCACGGATGCGTCGTGTCTTCACTTTGTCGCCTGCGAGCCTGCCACGCCTTTCCGAAGATTTGATGTCATTCGGTCCTCTGGTCGCATCGCCCGTTGCAACATCCGTCGTTGTCATAGTGTAGGTGGCCAAAGGGAATATGGAGAACCTCGGGTTTAGGGTCAGCTTTGTCTTGGTGAACGAGAAGGGATCGTGGAGTCTGCGAACGGCGCGGAGAAAGGTTTCGGCTCACTCAGCGAGGTGCCGGCTGTGAAAGAAATACTGCAAACAGCCGCCGGTCTTTGACAATACATGAGCCAGTTGCCTGTGTAATAGATTGCTCAGCGGTTCATGCTCGGCCGGAATGGGGTGGCAGGCGGCCATATTTCATGGGTATGGTGACGAGGCAGGCCTCATGGTGGGTGACATGTTACTGCAATTGGCTCTGCAATGTCTGCAGGCTGCAACATCCTGCGGAGTGACCGCCTCCAAGTCAAGGACTGATTATGGTCTTATCATAACGAATTGGTCACCGTAAGCAGAGGGCGGGCCGATCAAGAAGATATTGGTCGGGGGGCGGATATCAAGGCTCGTTTACGGATGGCTCCCCCACGTTCAGCCGCTCCTCGTGCTATTCTATGTAGGACAAATGACCCTGGTACAAATGTCAGGGGAAGCATACTTGACGGCGATATAACTCCAAGCTTGTTTGGAAGTTTTCTGTATTGTTCGAGTCAACAGGTGATCTGAGGTCCCCAGCAAAATGGCAACTCAGGACGAAAAGGACCCATTCGCATTCGATATACAGCTCAACACAGAGGAAGAAGGCCGCGATTTCCACAGGAAAAATGACGGGCACCAGATCCAGCGCCCTGATGTGGTCGATGATTGTTGCCGTGGCTTGCTTCTCCAGACCCGCGTGGATCGTATAGTCCATGGGCACGAGATCAATGGTTCAAGCCCGGCTACCTTAATCGTTTTCGGATTCCGCTTCCACGGCATTGACGAATACCGGCGCTTCAAACAGGCCACGGTCACCATCAACTTTCAAGATGAGAAGAAGCGGTCCGGGAACGACCCAGAGGTTGTCGCGCTCTGGCCCAACGGCGATTTCACTCTCGGCGAGCCAACAGAGGTCGAGGTTGAGGAGACTAGCGGAGGCGAGGCTGGCGCCAGCGTGACGGCGGGGAGCGGTATTCAAGGGGGCGGCCACCTCACACGGAAATGGGAGCGAAAGCTCAACCACAAGAGGACGGACCGATCGACCTTGACGGGATCTATTATCCTTGACATGAGCGTTCGCGATTATGGGCCAAACAACGCAGTTCGCCTGACTATCCGCGAGAACAAAACTGCGGCGTCGGGCATTGTCATCGATTTCCGGGCCGCATTACTGCTGCGACGCCAAAATTACGACAGTTTCCTGGGTACGGTCAAGCTGGAGGCCAAGGCACACTTTTCCTACAATGCCTTGAAGGGATTGCGGGACATCCTTGGTCTTTCGCCTGCCAACGACCCCGTCATCTTCAAACCAGGTGTGCAGTATTTGCGGCCACCAACGCAGGCCGCTTTCTTGGAGACCAAGCTAGCCAAGGAAATTGACGACGCAAATCTAAATGCTGACGCCCTCGAGGGCTTGGCTGGGGTATTGGGAACGACGGTTCTCGCGATTTCCAACTAGGACTATAGATTAGCCAGGTTATTGTTTCCCGTAGTCTAGGCGCGTTATTAAATGAGAACAGATAAAAGCAGAGAGAGAGGAACAAAAAGTGGAATAAAACAACGGGGGTCAGCCGCTGTAGGTGACTCTTCCAAAGACCTGCAGTCCAACTGTAGAAGCACAATTATTTTGGTACGAGATACCAAAAGATAATACTCGATTGATTGGCGTGGACTGTTTCTGGGCATACCTTCCGATGCTCCGGAGTGTGTGTGCCAGAAGCAGGCTATATTGACAGCCTGCCGCAGACCCTAGGATATCGATGCAGGATTCAGCAGGCATTGATTAAGGTCGCTTGACCCTGGTCGAATCTGGCCACTTTTTTGGCGCCTGACACAGTCACAAGGCAAGTCCGTAAATGACGGGGTTTGTTAATTACTTGAAGCAGGCTGGGAAAGACTCGCCTTCTTTTTCTGCAAACGACCATCATAGTGCTCTCCTCCAGCGCTACGCACAGTCAAGCATCAAATAGCTCAATATGGCAGAAGGGTCCGATACGAATTCCCATCAGAGTTTTGATGACGACGTTGAAGGGGTCGCTGATGAGAATCAGGAGCCATGGAAGTTCAGGTGAGTCGCTGGCAGGGCAAAAAGAAGGCGGCCGTTGACTTGCTAACCTGGATCAATCAGAATCTACTTTGTGGGATTTCCAAGCGAGATCGCTGACTCTGAAACCATGTCCGTGGTTGAAATGATCCCGAACCTCGTACCTGAGGCGAGGGTTTATCAACACAATATCTTTCGCCATGACGTCGTTTCAGAGCTGCAAGATTTGAGCTCGGAGGACGAAGATGACAGAGAGTCATTGGCAGTTGATGAGCAGCGAGCACCTGACGGGCCCGAGGAGCGTGAAAGGGACAGAGATGGCATCCCTGCCTCCTTAGTTGGCCCAAGGTTGATCAGCCCAAAGTTAATCAGCGACATCAGAAATCCCGACACAGGGAATTCTGTGAAAGAGGCGAGGATGGCTTCGATCGAGAAAGAGTATGATGAGCATATTGCCACCACTGACGATGCAGCATCCGTTGAGAGTCAAGTGGCCCATCCATTTTACTCGCCGGCCTGGATTGAAAGCGAGGCATTGGAACTTCTTATTCGGATCCAGAAGCATGCGCCACAGGAGGCGATTAAAGATCGCAATAGGGTGTTGTTGGCCGGTTATGGCTTTGGTGGGATTGTGGTCAAACAGGTATTGTGTGCCAGTTATGAACTCTTGCAGAGTTGCTAGATACTCATTTTAAGAACTCTAGGCTATAATTATTGCCAACAGGACGCCTCGATTCTACGACGTTGCTCTGAACGTCGCCAGCCTGCTCTTCTTTGCCACTCCCCATGGCCCAACGAAGCGTGAGGCGCCAGATCACTCGACCGGTCGACTCGGGTGGGAAAATGTTCTTTTTGAGATGCTCAAAGCCACAAACATAGGCTACACCGGTCGACTTTCTCAGCTGCTCTCCGGCCTCGTAGATGCCGTGGCACAACTTTCTCATGTCTTTCGAAAGTTTGCCGTCAAGTATCCGACAACGGATTTCATTCAGGTTGACGGTGAATACACGCCAAAAATGAGCCAATCTAGCAACCCCGAGTTTGGAGTCCTATGGCCGATGCGGGGGCCTAAAGGTGCTGCAATGTGCGCCGTGAACAACTTGGATGAACTCGGGCTGCTTCGAAGGCTCTTCACACCTGACCATATACTCTTTGATCACGAGGGTACGTGTAAAAACTTTCCTGTTCTCATAAACCCTGCTGACCTTCCATCAGGATCAATTAAGGGCCCCCATGTAGCACCGCAGTTTGACATCAGCGATACTTATTTCAAGACCCTCCAATCATTGTCTTTCTCCCGATGGATCCTGCATGAAGCCCGAACCCTAGACAAGTCTGACGACTTCGACGACATGCAGGGTATTTACCGCCCGATATTGCAGCAGATTCCTTGGAAACAGTCTCGCGGAGGTTCGGTCCAGATTCATGGTCCAACGGGGTACGGGAAGTCGGATCTTGTGAGGCTCATCACCCAGGAATTCCGCGAAAGATCTTCTGTGGTCATCATTGATAACCTCATTAGCTCATTGGAAAGTCATCTCGGGAGCTTCTGCGGTGTCTTGGTTTCTACCGTCCACCAAATCATCTCACAACGGCCATATCTGTTTTGGCCTGTTAAGAACTTGATGGCCGAGATTCTCAGCCAGAATGCCTGGACGCAAGAAACCCTCACTGCCTTGCTATCATCAATCATCTTTTACGCCAAGAATGTCGACTTTCTGGTCGTCATCGCCGATTTCGAAAAATGGACGAGCCAGGCGCAGTCATGGTGGTTGCAGATGCCGGGTTTGGCCGCAGAATCTTCCGCCGTGACGTTTACTTTCCTTACCAGCAGCCGCGCACCAATAGATGGCTTCAAATCAGGGAAAGTCTATGCCTTTGACCTGGCAGCGAAATCCAAGCACTACCAAAACGCCTTGATCAGGACGAAGACAACGCAACTACTTGATCATGCCTACGGATCCAGTTTCCTCAGAGAGAGGCTTGCGGTGAATGTCAAGAAACAGATCATTGACTCGGCCACGAGTTTTGAGGGTTCCTTCTCTGCAATCAGCGCATACCTGGTCCACCTATTCCAAAGCTTTACCATCAGCTCTCCAGAGGCGATCGAAGCAGACATTGCAAAGAGTCCGAAGAACGAAAGATTACTTTACGAGAAACACATAGAGATTCTTAGCACCCAACCCTCTTCCACAGTTTCTTGGGCGAATTCTGTACTTTCCTGTCTGGTTCTTGCAATGCGAGATTTTCGCATTGAGGAACTTGCCGTGGCGGTAGCCATCAATCTGCGCCGTTCAACCATCTCCCAGATTCAGGGAATGGTGTCCATGGACATGGAACGAGATCTTCGCAGTCATCTAGGAGGACTTGTAACCGTCGAAAATTCCTATGCACGCATTACCAGTCCATTAGCCAGAGAAGTCTTATCCGAAGGAAGTTTGCGGAAAGGTCTCGAGAGAACAACCCACGAAGGATTCGTCAGACTTTGTCTACACTACCTGAAGGTAGTTCTTAGTGGCGACGAACAACATATTTGGGACAAATGTCTCAGCCTGGCATTGCACAGAAACAACTTTCCAAAGCTTGCAGACATGGAGCCCGTCTTGGAGTTTCTGGATTATGCCTGTCGGTTCTGGCCCTCCCACCTTCTTGCTGTCGAAGATCCCGATAACGGGGTCATAGAAGAAGTCATCGCTTTCTTCAGAACAACCAATCTCTCTCGGAAGTGGTTCCAGCTATACTTGCTATTCACTGCCCGCCATTCCCGGTCCGACATAGCAAGCGATCACCAGTCATTTGGAGAAAATCCTGTACCACAGTCTCTGGCACAATCTCTTGAAACAAGGGGTTTAGCTAAAGGGGAATTTCTGCCTGCTCATATGGCTGGCTTTGTTGGTCTAAAATTGATCGTTCCCGCCCTCCTTGAAGGTAATGGAAGTCACACGGACTTAGAGACGGTTCATGTCCGGCACGGCTGCACGGAGCATGCTATAGTTGTGTGGGGAAATGAAGCTTGTTCCGACTTCAGTGTGCTATTTTGAGCAATGACACGAAGGCTGCGGAAAAACTATTACACAATGACCCAGAAGGAATGCCTCGGTGCTTTCCTCTTCATGTAGCAGCATTGGCCGGCAGTACCCATATGTTTCAACTTCTTTTCAGTGCCTTAAAGGACGCCACGCAAGCCGATCACGAAGGGAGAACGCCGCTTCACATGGCAGCTATATGCGGTCGGACAGATGTTATCCGACAACTCTTGGGCATGGGCGTTTCCGGTGAGGCACCGATCAATGCCAGCGCCGCTGAATTGCTCGATGTCAAGGATATGGGTTTCCACACAGCCTTGACAGCCGCAGCCAAGATGGGAAGTGTTGATTCAGCGAAGTATCTGGTAGCGGTTGGGGCAGATCTGACGGTTCAGGATCGAATTGGTCAGACGACCTTGCATTACGCAATCCCGAACTGCCCGCAAGTTGTTAACAACATTGTCGTTCGTGATAAGTCTACGCTATACATCAAAGATGTACATGGCTGCACGCCTCTGCATGTTGCTGCCCGTTGTGGGAGCGTGGAATCTACGACCTTCATTGTTGACGCTGCACGAACATACGATCGTCTGCTCGAAGTAGTCGAAGCTGCGGACAACATGGGCTTGGCGCCGCTCCATTACGCCGCTGAGAGGGGATTCACAAATGTGACTAAGATCCTCATCGACGCGCAAGTCAATAGTATTGCTTCAGCCGCTTATGCTAGGCGAGCTGCGAAATTAGCTGCAGCACACGGTTATCTAGAGACAATGAAGTCTATAGATGGAGGCACCTTGGAATACGGTGGCGAATTGCTTTTGGCCGCATCACGCGCAGGCCAGCTACTGATAGTCCAGTATCTTCTACAACAAAGCGTTTCTCCCGATGGACAGGAAGATGCGAAGCAAAGACCAATCTCAGTGGCCACAGCACGAGGCTACAACGAGGTGGTACGCACCCTGTTACGGCACAAGGCAGATATCAACTTGGGAGATTCAGAAAGGCGAACACCTTTGCACCACGCCGCAAGTTACGGAGTATACGATGTCCTAAAGACGCTCCTAAACCACGCTAGGGACACCACCGAGGCAGCGAACGTCCAAGCTCGCGATTACTCCCGGTTCACGCCGCTTCACTTTGCAGCTCAAAGAGGCCATACCAGCAGTGTAGAGCTGCTCTTGGAACACAACGCTAACGCCAATGACCGCTCCGTCTCGGGGGACACGCCACTTCATCTCGCCACTGGGAGTCCGAGAATAGTCGAAGCCCTTTTAAAGGTCGATGCAGATGCGAACGCCATCAATCAACTGGGCCAGACACCACTTCATATGGCGACGCGCAGGAAATGCCTCGAATCCGCACAACTTCTTATTCGAAAGGGCGTCGAAGTTGGCATTGCCGATGAAGACGGAAGACGGGCGGTGTATCATGCCATAGAGCAGAACGATATCCACATGGTGGAAGAGCTCGTAACGAATGATGTCAAAGCAAACGATATCAATGAAAACGTGAAAGGATCGTGGGACAACCTGGAGCTGGCAGTGAGATCTTCTGCCCTGGAAGTCCTTGAGTTTTTAATGGGCGATGATGAAGATGCAGTACAGAAGACGGACGACGACCGTCATTCACTCTTGCACTATGCTGCCGAAAGGAAATCAGTTGAAGTTCTGACTTTCCTCATCGACCGTGGAACTGAAATTGACAGCCCTAGTCGCTGGGGGAGAACGCCACTGCATTGCGCAGCCTATCATGGCCAAGTTGACAACATGAGAGAGCTTCTCAAACGCGGCGCTGACCCTGAAAGGGCGGATGAGTCCGGTGATATACCCTTGCACCTGGCTGCCGATCAAGGGTATGATGCAGCCGTTCGCATCTTGCTCCACGCAGGTTCACCTATCGATGTACGAGGGGTTGGGGAACAAACACCACTTTTCTGCGCCACCAGCGCGAATCATTTCAACGTCGCCGAAACACTTCTCAAGGCCGGCGCCGAAGTCAATTCACAAGACGAAGACGGCTGGTCTTCACTACATGCGGCGGCAGGTGACCTGGGCGCTTCCAAGCTGCTTTTGGAGTCCGGGGCCGACATCAATTGTCAAAAGGCAGACCTTTGGGCCCCCCTTCACTTAGCCGTATTCTGGGGTAGCGTCGAGGTAGCTGAATTTCTCCTCAAGAGTGGTGCCAACCCCAACCTCACCAATGCCGACGGAGACACACCCCTGCATGTGGCCCTCAAAAAGGGTCAAGCTGAGGTTGTGAAGATCTTTTTGAACCACCGTGGAAGCAACTCTGTAGATGTGGACAAACCGAACGCCGATGGGTTCCATCCCATCCACCTGGCATCCAGAGAATGCAATAGCGACATCGTACAACTTCTCTTAGATAAGAGAGTGAATTTCAGAACTAAGATAGGTGGCAACCTATCTTGTCTAACTCTTGCTATTCAAGCAAACCGACCTGAGAATCTAAAACCGCTGCTTGGCAAAGACAATCCACTGGCTCCTGGTCAGGGTTGGGATCCACAGGATTGGACAAATGCCTACTGGGAAGCTATATTCAGAAACCGGGTCGAAAGTGTTTCTATCTTGCTGAGCAAGAGCCCTGGTCTGAAAAATGAGATGAATGAAGAGGGCCTCAATGGTCTCGAGGTGTACTTCGACAGCTGCCAGAGCCTCGAAGACCAGGGCAACCCACTGGCCGTCCTCTTGGTCAAAAGCGGCTGCAATCCCTGGACCAGACGGCAGAATGACCAGAAGTCCATTTTTGAACTTGGTTTCTCGACCCAGTGGAGTCGCCAGCACATGGACTTTGTGGATGCTTGTCTCCAGTGTCTTCCAGGTGACCCCCAAGAGGCCGGGCTGGGATTCAAAGAACTTCGAATCGCTACCGAGATGGATAGGCCTGACCTATGGACGAAGCTAAAGTCGATGCTAACACAATTCGAGAGGGAGACAGATTCCGATGGGTGGACTCTGCACCACTTCTTGTATCAATGTGCTCCCAGGATCGCCCTTGGAGAGTACCAGTCGAGAGCCCCGCAAAGCCAGACCAAGACGCCAACAGCGCTCATTATACCTCCTATGTGGAAGAGAGGTGTAGAAGTTAGTGAGTCGCGCGCGCAGATCCTCCAAGGGGGTTTGGAGGTTTTCTTTGCAGGTGAGTGATCCGTCCTGATTTATCTGCTATTTCTATATGCCGTGACTTTGATATTTCCATTGTGATGCTAATCCAAAACAGCATCTCACGACGAGGAAAACGACCCGTACAACATTTGTATCAGGGCAAACCATCCTCTATCGCCTAGGAAACTGGGATTGGCATATTTTGAGCTATCAATAGAGGAGGCCTTGGAGGTGTCCACGTCCGAGTCCAAGCCAGACGATCTCGAACAGCGGAACAGAAAGTCAAGTAATCCAAGCGAACCAGAAGAGCCGGAGACAGGCTCTAACGGCTCTGCGAAATCTGACGCGACATCAGACACTTCCCCGTCATCGGAAGCTACGCCTGCCGACCCAAGCGTGGTCATCGGCTTGACTGGCGAGTTCTGCGACATGAGGAAGGCACACCCCGGATGGTATTTGTGGTCGGTGGGTTACCATGGAGTCGAGGGCAATGTGTATGACGAGGACTTTTCTTCCGCAAGTCATATATTGGGACGAATCTATGGGCTAGGCAGCACCGTGGGCTGCGGGGTCGATTACGAGAACCGCGAATATATATTCACTCTCAATGGTCAAGTCGTTGGTACGTTCGACTCACCATTCTTTCAAGATGCGGCGATGACAGCAAAGCTGATGAGAATATCACATAGACCGGTATCCGAGTAAGTCCATATTTCGAAAGTTGTATCCCTCGATTGGCCACTGTGACGGAGCCGCAAAAGTGAGGGTGAACTTTGGAGAGACAGACTTCATGTGGGCCGGTGCGAAGGAACTCCATGCAAAGGACCAAACCATCGTGCCCCCAAAATTAGAGAGGACACAGACGAGTCGAACTATGTCGGTTGCTGGCGCACGAAAGTAGCGCAGGTGTTGGTTCGGCATCGTAACTAGTTACGGAGTCTAGGACTCTGCGGGAAACGCGGCAAACAAAGCGTGAATATTGGAATACCCAAATGATAATATCATGAGGCCGTTCTATCATCCTGGAGTTCCCACGTGCTCCGTGTAGCCGGTGCCATAGGCCGTGGTTGTAGATTATGCTTGGTAGTGAAAAAGCTGGCCCAACATGAACGTCACCCGTGCCCCAATTCCGGTTGCGGCAGGACCTTCTTAAGACCGGAGAACTGTGAACAATACGGTCACAAGAGTTGCACTTTTCGGTCGCACAGCTAGTGATGCCGTTCAAACAGGTTATCGAGTTGTTTACGTTGTATATGTCAGTTGTCATCATCCAGTTGGATGGCAACATCAGAAAATGCGCTGAATTGATTTGGTTGTTTAGGGTTCGCCCGACTGCGTGTTCTTGTTTCAGTTGCTCTCAATTCATCCGCTGAGGTTGCAATCTTGGCGTGCCCGGTCAGGGTTAAGGGATGAGGTTAAGGATATGGATGATACTCAGGGATCGGGATGCTTCACACAAGGTAGTCATACTGGGCCTCACTTTGAGATAACCTTACCTTGACTCTCTAGCTCGGCCGGGATCATCAACGATTCGCCGCAGCCTCCTTCCCTTGAAGCCACCAACCACACAAATTCGCTTACGACGTCATGCCTTAGTACTCACGGGAACTGGGGAAACCAATAGTCCCAACGACTTCCAACAAAACCACATGGTCTCATTTCCCGTTCAGGCAACGACTACCATTTCAATCTCCTGATTCCAACTACAACACCATTGATTAAGCTTTGCCCGACTCACAACCCCATCCAGCACACACAAATCAGTCACAGTCACATACATACATAACATGGCCATCTCCAAACTACTCGCAATACTTAAAAGTAATTTTCGCCCCCCGGCGGGCACCTCGTGGACCGCCGGAGACGACGTGAGCGAATTCTACCGCAGCTGGGGCTTCACCACCTACCGCACCGCCTACGGCCCGGCCACCGACGTGCAGTGGCGTATCCTCCTGGACAAGATCCGGGCCCAGGTTGTTTCCGAGATAGACTGCTACGTTGAGGCCGGCGAGGAAGACGTCGCCGCGCAGCTCAAGTCCCTCTTCGTCCTCGACGCCCGCTCCGATGCCGCCCTGCTCGCAGATAAGTCCATGGACGAGGTGCGCATGATTTACAAGCAGGCGGCGGTGGCCAGTCGCAGCTCCGGCGACCCTATTGACAAGGATAATAACCAGTCACTGCCCCTCATGCACGACAGCCCTAACCAGCGTGCGTTCCTCCTTGCTGACGCCGAGGTGCTTGAGGGCGTCGACCGGGACCCCTACTTCTGGGTCAAGTGCGTCGAGGCTGATTTCGCCGAGGGAGATTTGGCCGAGGCGGACAGCGCCCCGGCCGCGCCCTGGGGGAGACATAGAGCAGTCAGGCCGTGGTCTGGCTGGATGAAGATGACGACCCGCAGCGTGGTCGATTTGTGTGCCGAGATGCCGGTGCGCGATCTGGCTAACATCGCGCCTGATGCGAGGGCCGCGGACGAGATGCCTGTGTACAACGGCGAGCTGACGGGGTCGTCGCTGACGAGCAAGATGTCGAGCGGCAAATGAGGCGATGGAAGGGGGTCCACGAGGATCCTGGACGGTGGGAGGTTTGGGAATGATAGATATGGATCATGGGATGGACTTAGATGACTGTTGAGCGTTGTCGGCATTCTCCTATGGCACTTGACGGCTTGTATCAACTCGCTATCCGCGACCATCGACTGCCACGAGTCCATGCGGACAATGACAAGCCTCAGCTACAAGTTTTCTTTGGGCAGCGTCTCCATGACCAACGAGATCTGCACCGCCGATTCCTCTTCATCGCTATTAAGTCGATATAACTCTGTGGCGAGAGACTGTGCCGGCAAGGAACTCGACGGATCCGTCCCTCAAATGATTGGATGATATAGTGGGTGGGATACAACGAGGTCTGCATCAAGGATCCCAAGGCCAAGAGCTACTGCAAAGGCGGGTTCTGATCCGGGGGAAAGAAAGCTAAAGTAATAGCATCTCGTCGTTTGTCTTGCGTCCTTTAGATCCCGTCAGTAAGGTGTTGTCAGCAATTTGAAAAGCTCTTGTTGTGCGTGATAATGAGCTTGACTAAAGTCTGCTATCGTGTCTTTAATCGGTCAACAGTGTGAGTTTGGTTTACCCAAGATCGAGAAACTCTGAACGTTGAACTCCCTGACTTGTTCTCGAAAGTTTCAGACCTGACCTGGGACAGACGAGCGAGGTGTTACGAGTACCCATGCTATTGTTGTGTGATGGCAACTGTGAATTTCCTACGTTCCAGAGATTCTGTAAACCCGTGCATTATGTAGTGACGCAAGCTGGTAAGATTGTAAAGCAGCGAGTTCAGCTTGCCCTGTATTAAACTATCCTACTTGAGAGCGCAACTGGCTAGTTTTGAGATGCTTCATCTACATGTGATGCGGTCTACGATGACAAGCTTTCACTCGAGGTTAAGTCCACAAGCTACAATCCTAACGCTTGGAGCTTTACCATCGACGCACACCATGCTGTACGGCTTTAGACGAGGACGGGAGCCACCGCGACATCCGGCGCTTCGTGAGACCTGCCTTACATTTTCACATTTACTCGCCGTGGATCTGCCCCTTCACTCGTTCGGCGTCTTTCGACGGAAGTTGAGCAAGTAAATCTTTGAGTTTCTCACACGCCGCTTGGATCTGCGGAGCCATATCCCAGCTCGGGGCCTGCTCTTTCATCGAGGAGTCGGAGTCATCGTCGTCGCCGGTGCGGGGAAATGCCAGTAAGGCGCCGATCCAGTCCAGACGAGCCTGAGAAAGCCACTTTGTGGTTTTGGGCTGGGCAAGCCATAGCATGGAGTTCTGAAAATCGAGGTATGTGGTAAGAAGCCAGTCAAAATCCTGATCCGGATGCGGAATGGGGCGGCAAAGCTTGTTCTTGGTTTCATCGTCGCTGTAAGCTGTCTCGACATGGGCGATGAAGGCTGCGCTGAAGACTTGCTGGCATTTACGGACAGCCTGTAACGTGATCAGATTTCCGTTGAAGACAGGGACTGCCTCGCGCTTCTCCAGTCCGTCCGCCGTGCAGTCGACAAAGAGGGTGTTTGGCTGCGGCTGGTAGCTGAACCCATTGTCGAACTTCACCTCGTTAAGCCCGATGCTGACAACTCGGCCCTGGCGGATAATGTTCGTGATCTTCTTCAGCTGCTCGAGCTCAGCCACCGACACGGAGGCACAGCGGAACATAGTTGGCCAGACGTCGTCGCTGATACGCATGAGATGTCCTCTTCCTTCCAGCCTAATCAACAGATCGCTCACAGATGTCACCGCCATGATGGCCTCCATCTGGTCAGGGAAACAACTGAGGCTCCTCGTGGCAAACTCGGCGCCTGGCTGACTCTCGCTGCGGTCAAAAAGCCACGAGTCCCGTGGCATGATCCACGTCAACTTCGAGACGTCGACTCCTCGCGAAAGCAGCCATAGGCAAGTGTCGATGCCCGTCTTGCCGGCGCCGACGATGGTAAAGTTGGCGAAGGGTTGCGATATCCTCGATAGTGAGTTCGGCGTCACAAAAGAGACGTCAGAGGCCACTTGGTACGACGGAGGGCCCATGGATGGCACCTTGACGCGCATGTACGTGGAGTCCACAATCCGGGTGGAATTGCCAGCTAATTGGAAACTCTTGCCTGAGATCATGGAGATGAACTTGCCGCCGCCTTCATAATTGCAGTTGGGGAAGTACTGGACTCGTCCAGACGGTAGGAAGTGCTGGTTCAAGACCTGGTCGTAGTATGCCAGGACCTCATCGCTGGTAGCCAGCTCATGTAGGCCTTTATTCCAGCCGACTTGGTCAATGAGGCCGCTGCCCAACTTCTTAGAGTTGACTCCATAGAAGGCGGAGGGCTGGTGCAGCCTCACAAAAGAGTAGGCCGTAGTCCAATGACCTCCGGGGCGGCTATAGCGATCGACGAGGGCCACAGTAGCTTTGGTATCCGAGAGCAAGGTATCGACGAAGGCCATTCCCATTCCGCCTGCGCCGACGACGAGGTAGTCTGCTTCGATAGATTCCGCCATTATGTTGGAATGAGATCCAACGCTGGAGAAGTAAAGTCGTCCTGTTAGAGGAGTTGCACTGAGGCTGCTGATGATGTGCTTTGCTGAGTTGCACCCTTTCGTTCTCGCCATCCACAAGTGTCGATTGATTACTATGTATATAGGTAGAATCCCGTGTGGAGTTGTGGGTGAGTTCCATCACTTATCATTCGCGTTCGGAATTTACCCACATTCTGGAATTAACTTAGAAGGTCGCATCGCTGATGTGTAGCATGAGAAAAATGAGATAGGTCTTGACGTGTCATTTACCCGCCGTCCGAAACCCCCGCGACGGAGATGGTACATGTAGTATCTCGGACACGGAACACAGGTCTCGGTCCCGTCAATATGGACAATATATCCCCCGGGGTTCCATACCTAAGTTGAGGTAGACATTACCTCGCAAGTCACTCTTGTTCTTCCTCGTGACAGCTGGTACTTGTAAACTATTTGACATGATTGCTCTGATCCTTCTTTCCAATTTGTAGGTAGCATGACTGACGAAAGTAGAATTGGGCGAAAGTCTTGCCTGGGACATCTGCAACATGTAAGTCAGCTCCGGATCCCGAACCCGAATACCGGTCGGCCGCACTACTTCGGCCGAGCGCGCCCGGCCGTACCCGGACTCTCGAAGCTAGATTGACCAAGCCACTCCCCGTGAGTTCCAATGTCGCCGCAGCTAGATGCCTGATGCTGCCCGCCCACAACTGTCGCTACCTGGGTCTTCTTCATACGATGCAGACCCGATGCAGCCCGAGTAATCGCCTTGTTCTGATCTTCGTGGGGTCACAGTTGTCGAACAATCGCGGATTACCCTGCGTCTACTACCCCACTGGCCAATTCGTCCACTCGGAACCAGGCCGGCTCCCTTGCAGATTGCAACTGCGGGCAAACCCGAGTAACCTTCAGACGGTAAGTGGGCTTTGAGTCATTTTGATGAGAAGACAGTGAAATAAAGCGGTATAGTGCCCACCCAGCAGTGAATCTGCAGATGTTTCTACGAATGTCTCTGCAAATGTCTACTAGGGCTTGTCGTACAGATGTGATGATTATTCATCCCATCGAGGGTCATAACAGCTTTTTTGAACGCCTGTGAATCCTTTTCGTTTGATCCTGGAATAGGTCCCCTAGTGCTCCGCGGGCCCCTCTAGCCCGTCTGCCGATTCCTTCTCTACATTCCAACATCTTTATGCCTTCCTAGTTCCTTAAGCCGTGGGCCATTTCGAGCCATGCCATCGCATGATCTTCCTGCTCCAAGTGTCGTGGTCCAGAGGGCAGAGCTTGACAATGGAAAGGGCAACAGTCTTCGTGCCGAATGCATCCCGGCCTCCAACAAATGCCGCGTCTGCAACAAGACGTTTACCCGCTTAGCACACCTTCAGCGGCATCTCGCCTCACACAGGGGCGCCAAGCAATGGGTGTGCGAATTTTGCGGTACCTCGTTTGGACGTCGGTAAGCCAAGTCATCGTGACAAAATATTTCTCTCCCTCACCCTCTCGCTCTCAAGCTGTTCAATCAAGCCACAAACTAAAGCGAACTTCAAGGGACGTCCTGAACCGGCACCTCAGCACCTGCAGCCGGGCCGTTCCAGGGGCCCGTTCCGCACTTCGCCCCCTGAACCGAGCCTGCAATCCATGTCGGGATCGCAAGACTAGATGCGATGGACAACAGCCTTGCAGCCGGTGTTCTCAAACCCCCTCAAGGTGCGTCTTTGCGCATTGTCGGATGCTTCGGCATGCTACGGAGGACGCTGCTCAGCCGGGGGCCCAGGATAACGGCTCTCGATCAGCATGCTTGAGCAGCAAGGCATCAGCAACGTCCCCAGCTTCTGATCAGCTGTTGACCTCCAGAGAGACATCAGCATCTGTGGGGCAGACGAGCGCGCGTTCTGCCTCTTCCTCTGCCTCTGTCTCTGAGCCGTTTCCAGCGCAAAGCCCGGGCCCGGCAAGCAATGGCCAAGGCACCCTCTTTTCTCTCAACTTGTCTATGGATGACATGTCTGAACAACATTGGATACCCACCATTGACCCATTTGCTGCAACGGACGAGCCGTTCGACGTACTTTCTACCTTTTCATGGACAACGGGTGGGCCGGAAACGCTTTGGAAGGCACCCGGCGAGGTCACACTCGGCCCAAATGCAACGGCGAGTGAACCTCCTGTCGAAAGCGTCGGCGTAACGAGCCCCCATGATGAGCTGGCATCCATCTACCCGCGACGGACGTCTGTCGAGCGGGGTCTCGCCCCTCTTGGATTAAGTCTCCTTCAGCTGGATCCGTTAGAACACCACCGCACGGTGATCGTTGACTTCCTCTCTACAGCCTGCAAGGACGTGCCGGGGATCCACAGTCTCTTCAAGACGCAGAGCATGGGCGTGATCTTGAACACCTACTTTGTTCGCCACCACCACAAGACCCCGGTGGCACACCTGCCATCCTTCAGTATCGGATCCGCCTCGACGTCGATCGTGCTAGCAATGTCTCTTTTTACGGCGGCATATACGCCTTTCCTAGGCTTGCAGTCGCGACAATTCCAAAGCTTGCTGGTGGCGGCGTACCGGTTTGTAATCAAGAATGACAAGGTATGTCAAGACTCGTCAAAATTGCTCCTCATGCATTCTCATACTTGAGACCAACTGCCGAGTTGAAGCATGATCAGGCCCTCGAAAATGCAGAAGAGCCGTCGGTATCTACGCTACAGGCCTGTTGGCTTCTGGTCATGCTCGAGAATCCAATGAACGCTACCCATTGCGCAGGCAGTGTCATTCCTTTTGAGGACATTGTTTCTCTAGCTCGCCGCGCGCGCATCTTTAACGGCTCCCGGTTGAAAAAACTTGGTCCCGACCCACAGTGGCTAGACTGGGTAGATGTAGAGAACTTCCGAAGGCTGGCTTTCGCCTTGTACGCCCTGAATTGTCTCCGAAGCGTCTTAAAAGGGGGAGTACCTCATATCCCGACATGCGAGATGCAGCTGCACTTACCCGAGCCCGAGGTGCTGTTCCAAGCGCCCAACGAAGCGGAATGGCGCCGCCTCAGGAACGCCGGCGGGCACCAGCAGCGGCGCACACCCGTCTTCTCCGTAGTCATGGAACTTGTCCTCCGCGGCCTGGCCGATCAAGAGCATATGCCGCAGACGCTCATGGGAAAGTTCGCTGTTACACACGGGATTCTCCTCCACGCGTGGCAGGCAAAAACGCAGTACGAACTCGGACGCCGCCAAATGGCCAATTCCGCTGCGCTAGAACTTTTCTTCCATGGGCGGGCGCAAGAAATTCGTAGTGCACTTGCGGTCCTATACCCTGGATGGCGCGCGACGCTGAGTGACACTAATCATGATCCGCAGAAAGGCGACATGGCCTTGCTCTACAGAGATCGCGCGTTAGCGTGGTATTACTTGGCTGGTGTCCTCACGCTTCCGCAAAGCTGCTTCTCGTCTATGGAGGGACTTGAAGCAGAAGAAGGCGGGCAGACGCCCCAGGGTACCTCGATGGCCTTGTTCATGAAACGACTGGTAAGAGCGCTTGACCGGGGACTTCTCCGAGGTCTTGATGGCGACTATGGCGGTATATATCAACTCGTGAGTTCCCTCAGCCTCGAAGGGGAGGAGACCACGACCGAGTTGGGGACCTTGATATACCTCACGACGTAGACCGTAGTTGAGACTTGTCGTTAGATACGCGAGTCGGCCTCGTTGTTGATGCGTCAATACATGGATAGTATCATTTTTCCACTTACATCACCAAAGTTGAACAGCTTGTTTAGGTACTCAATGATGATGCGCCAGATCTGTGGCTCCCGGACCAGCTGTACGCCTCAGTGAGGTCCTCGGTTGATGGTCAATATGTCACTGGGGACGACCTCGTTCGACAAATTCTGGACGACACGACCGCCAGGTCGACCTTGCCCGGGGGTATCAGGCATCTCACAACACCTGCTTTTATCTTTGGGCCCATTCCTCGATGTCCAGTTCTCAAGCCGCCGCCATCTGCCAGTGCCTGGAACTTTCACAGACTCGGCTCAAATTGGCTGCGTCATAAAGTCAGTGGATGTATACCAATTGGTGCAAACTCTAAGATAGCCGCATTTTTGCAGACTTCCCATCACATGGAGTCGCGGTAGTCAGGATAGCTGGCACATTCCCTGGCGTAGAAACGGTGAACCAGTTATGGGAACTCACTTTCACAGGACAATCAACATTGATCCCTAACTCTGAACGATCTGGCCTCGACTAACTTGCCGAAGATGTATCGCAGACGAAACGGTGGGGAACTAGCTGGAGGATCACGACGCATTCTATCATAGGTTCCTCAACAAGTCGACGCCGGAAGCCACTGCTTGTGATTCACAACAGAGAAAGTTACTGGAGGTCTTCTGTCTCATCATCACGGCGACTCAGCCCTCGAACAAAACCTGATGTACAAGCCCGCGGATGCTACATTAGTGCCGTGATGAATAAATGCGCCGGGAACCCTAGCTCCTACCCTGCAACAGCGTATGCAACTACTGTTACTGGAAGACCCTATCTCAGTGATGCTACCAGTCACCACTTTGGCTGGGGTGGACTGTCGATGACGATCTATACAGCTTGTCGATATTCAATTGCGGCCAAACACACTGCCGTTCGAGCCATTTCAGCTGTGGAACGTAGTTAGCGCTTAGACTTCCTGATCAAGTGTCGCGTAATGTGCGACTCTGCCAACATGCCCGCCACGGCGTATCTCGAAGCCGTCACTCGAGCTGCCCTGAAGTTACAACAGTGACGCCTTTCCACTTAGACTCCTGTGGTTGAAGATCTCATCATGAAAGAATAGTTAATCATTACAATCATCAAGTAAAGAATCCAACGCTCGTTTGTCTAGTTACCGTAGTGGCTATCTCCAAGACGCTTCGGATATTTGGAAGGAGAAATACCCACGGAGTCTCATCAAATTGTGTATATCCAGCTCACGAAGACGCTAATGCAACAGCTGAAGCACCACTCCC